GTCTCCCCTGAGCCTCTACCCGAGGCCTTTCTCCCAGAAGCTGGTCCTCCCAGGTGGGCAGCTGGGCCTCTCTGGGCCTCAGTTTCTCCACGTAGTTAAAGAACATTAACTGCTGGTCAGAGAGCAGGTGGGACACTCAGGATGAGCTTCTGTCCCCAACTCTGCAATTTCCCTCCTTCAAGATGCAGAGGGTCCAAAGGTGCTCAAAGATGCACGGGGGGCCCGCTAGGTGGCGCCCGCCTGTCATCCCAGCGGCTCTGGAGGCTGAGGCCTCCCTTTCCCTATTATGATTATGATTATGATTAATTATTATTATTATTAACCAGGGATTGAACCCAGGGGCGCTTACCCACTGAGCCCCGTCCCCAGCCCTTTTTCTATTTTATTTAGAGACAGGGTCTCGCTGAGTGGCTCAGGGCCTCGCGAAGTGGCTGAGGCTGGCCTCCAACTCGCGATCCTCCTGCCTCAGCCTCCTGAGCTGTTGGGATGACAGGCGTGCGCGACCTCACCCTGCTATTACTATTATTATTTTTAATTAGTGCATTATAGTTATATGGAAACACAGGGTTTATTGGCTGTATTTGTACATAGACTTATTTTTTTAAAAAAAGAGTCACATTGATGATCCTTCCCCAGCCTTTCCCCGGGCCCCTTGTTGATGTCACCATGTGGTGGCCATGTGAGTGCTCACCCCGGGGGCGGGTATTCTGTCCGTAGGAGCAGATGTGGAGAAGAAAGGGGCCAATAAGACGGAATTTCGCTACCCCTCCTACGTCCAGCACATTATGGGGTAAGTGACGGGGTGGCCACCAGTTCCAGGGTATCCAATGTCACCCCAGTCCCTTTCAGGGCCTGGGACGTGGCGTTTGGGTCCAACCGACCACCCTCAAGGTCATGTGCTGTGACCCTCACGCAACCCCAAAGCAGCCAGGTACCGGGTCACAGGGTTCCCACGATGACAAGGAACCAAGCCCCGAGAGTCTCTGTCAGGACCTGGTGAGGAGACAGGCGGGCACCAAGGGGCAGGACACTGAGGTCCCTTTCTCAGAGCCCCGGAGACTTCAAGAGCCTCTCCCCTAAGTGGGCCTCTGTGGTGCTGTTGGGGACAAATGTGGGAATTCGTGGCCCTGGAGAGAGGTCACCGCAGGCACAGGCAGCCCCAGGCGGCCTGGCAGAGTCTTCTCCCAGGGCCGAGCGCCGCACTGTCCTCAGTCCTTGTCCTCATCACAGACTTCTGAGGCTGGCCTCCAATTTGCGATCCTCCTTCCTCAGCCTCCCGAACCACTGGGATGACAGATGTGGGTCACCCTGTCCTCCTAGAAAATATTTTTTAAAACAGAAAAGTGAAGGTCACCTTCTCGAGTTCAGCACAGAGCTGGGCTCAGCCTGGGGAGGGATACAGGGGGACAGCCCCCAGAGAAGGTGCCCCCGCCCAGCCTGGCAAGCACCGGTGCCCACATGGGCTCTTTTCTCGTCTCTCATACCTGGTGATGGGTTTTCCTGTCATTTTACAAAAACTACGTGGAATTTTTTGGACCAAAATCACCAATGGCAGTTTGAGACGAATTCTGCTTGTCCTTGTTCCGTCTAGTTCCTCTGGATGGTGTGACCCCGGATCACACCCCTGGCCCTGGCCAGAAGTGCCATCAGCCTGGGAAACCCCCCCATTGAAGAGACATTTGTCCCTGCAGGGACATATTCTCCCAGGGATTCGGGCCTTTCCGCTGGGTCTGCACATCCGGGGACCCTGAGGACCTAGCTGTCACGGACCAGCTAGCCACATCTGTGCTGGAGAAGGCCATCGCTGAGGGAGGTAATGTCCTGGGGGGGAGGTCGGCCCTACGTGCACACTGTCCCCAGGAGATGTCCTCCGCTGTGCGGGTCAGGATCCTCCGGGTGGAATTAACAGGAAGCCAGTGCATTGGTTAGCTTTGCAGTACTGTGACAAAAGGCCTGAGAAAATCAGCGCGGTAGACAAAAAGGTTTACCATGTCAGAGGTTCCAGGGTACGGTTGGCCCCGACTCCTGGATTTGGGGACAGAGTTAGAGCAGGCGTCTGTAGCAAGCAGCCTGGATCAGGAGGGCCCAGGACTCTGGCAGGGGCGCCCTCTGCCCACGACACCCCACTTCCTCTCTACAGCAACGACGGAGTCTGTGAAACTACAATATATGGACAATGTCCGCTGGATCCGCGAGGCGGCCAAGCACCACCTGGTGAGGGTGTCCCTCGGGGCTCCCAGGGGAGGACTGGAGGGTCCTGGGGGAGGCTGACTTGGGGCTCTGCTTCCATGAGAATTCACAGGGCACAGACACAGGACCACATGTGACCATGCCAGAGCACCTGGCAGCAGATCAACTGTCACCCTCAAAAATAGGAAGTTCCTGGGGGGCGGGGATCAAAAAGAGCCTGTTATCCCAGCGGCTCAGGAGGCTGAGGCAGGAGGATCGCAAGTTGGAGGCCAGCCTCAGCCACTTAGCGAGGCCCTAAGCAACTCAGGGAGACCCTGTCTCTAAATAAAATAGAAAAAGGGCTGGGGACGGAGGTTAATCCCATAATGTCACCTCCCTGGAGCGCAGGGAGGTCGGGCTCTCAGAGTCTCCAAGATCCAGGGCTCACCCCTGGGCAGCTCAGACCTCACGGGGACATGCGGTGGCCAGGGGCTGAGGGGAGGGTACGCCCCAGTCTGCCACAGACCTCGGAGGGCCATCTGGGGTCCCCTCGGGCCACACACCAGGGGCCTTGTCTAGGGATCAGAGGGGCCTCCAGGCTGCTGGGGACGGTGGCTTGGTGACGCCAGCTCGCCCCCAGGTCCTGCCTCTTGCTGAAGGGTCTCTCCCTCTCCTCCTGCAGGTGGTGGGCTCCCAGGCACGGATTCTCTACTCGGACCAGAAGGGCCGCGTGGCCATCGCTGTGGCCATTAATCAGGCCATCGCCAGCGGGAAGGTCAAGGTGAGGCCCTGCCGTCCAGGGGGTCCTCCCCCCCCTGCCCTGCAGACCCCACCTCCCGAGCCTTCTGGAACAGCCCGACCCTTGCCCTCTGCCTCTGGTGGCTCACGTCCTGCACCTCCCTTTGCCCCAGGCACCCGTGGTTCTGAGCCGTGACCACCACGACGTCAGTGGCACTGACAGCCCGTTTAGGGAGACCTCCAACATTTATGATGGCTCTGCCTTCTGTGCAGGTGAGGACCCACACACACACACACACACACACACACACACACAATCACGCAGCTGTACACGCCTGGCCTCCCAGCGGCTCGGGAGGCTGAGGCAGGAGGATCGCAAGTTGGAGGCCAGCCTCCGCCACTCAAGGAGAACCTGTCTCAAAAGGAGAAGGGCTGGGACGTCGCTTGGTGGTAGCGCTCCTGGGCTCAATTCCCCTGTAGGACCCCCCCCAAAAAAAAAAGAAAGAAAAGAAAAAGAAAAATCCAGGGACTTTGATTGATCAGGGAACCTCATGCAAATTCAAAGACCAGTCCACATTCAGAGGGGGCGCCCTTCTGAGCACGCTCAGTTGGAGATCATGCGCCCCACACCCCTGACCCCCGTCCCCAGCCCTTTTTCTATTTTATTGAGAGAGAGGGATTCACTGAGTTGCTCAGGGCCTCACTATGTGCTGAGGCTGGCCTCCAACTTGCGACCCTCCTGCCTCAGCCTCCCGAGCTGCTGGGAGGACAGGCGTGCGTCACTGCGCCCGGCTCCCCTCATCCTCTTTTAAGGGAAGGGGCGAGGCTCCTTGACTCTGGGTCTCCACAGTTAAGATGTCTCTGGGTTCTGCGGCTGGTTCTCTTCGAGCTGCGGGCTCTGGGGCTCAGGACTAGGGAGGAGAATCGTAGGAGACTCTGGATCTTTGTTGGTGCCTCCTGCTCAGCTGGGGCTCTGCCAGCACAAATCATGGCTGTTCCCGGAGCCACCGGTCCCTGGTTCCCACTGGCCCAGCTGTCACCATGTTCTTGCATCCTGAGCCTGGCCTGCGCTCAGGCCTACTGGACAGAGGGACATGGGGTCTGGTGGACAGAGTGACGTGTGCTGTTCCTGCTTCTGCAGACATGGCCGTGCAGAATTTCGTAGGAGACGCCTGTCGTGGAGCTACCTGGGTCGCGCTTCACAACGGAGGGGGCGTGGGCTGGTAAGGAGGGGGTCAGAGGATGGGCTGGGGGCTGCTGGGATAGCGTTATCAGGGGGAAATCTGCACAGGGGACTCCACTTCTTTGGGTCACACTTGTCACCTAGGACGTGAAGGTCTGTTGTAAGTGCCCAATAAGAACAGCAACCCTCCTTTCCAGGTCAGCGTCTAGGGTCTTCCTGTGTCCTCTGAGAGCCTCGCTTGAAAGCATGATATACCCAAAGCCAGACGTGGTGGTGCACACGTCTGTCATCTCAGCAGCTTGGGAGGCTGAGGTAGGAGGATGGCAAGTTGGAGGCCAGCCTCAGCCGCTTAGCAAGGCCCCTAAGCAACTCAGCGAGATCCTGTCTCTAAATAAAATACAAAATAGGGCTGGGGAAGGGGCTCAGGGGTTCAGCGCCTCTGGGTTCAGTCTCTTGCTTAGGGCCTCCCTAAGTGGCTGAGGCTGGCCTCCAACTTGCCATCCTCCTGCCTCAGCCTCCCAAGCCGCTGGGATGGCAGGCGCCTGGAAGAAGGAACGTAGCCTCGAGGCGCTGCGAGGTTGATGAACTGCGCCTGCGTGGATTTGAGCGGCAGGGAGCATCTGGGGTCCGCCTTGCCCAAGTCCTACCGCCCGGCAGGATTTGCACCTGCTCTGAGCAGCAGGGGGCGCTGTGGCTTCAGGGCCCAGAGCAGCCACCCAGGCTCAGCTCCTGGGGCCATTTCTGAACTGCCCTCTGAGCCTGATTTGGCGGGATCAAGCCATCCCCCGTCCTCCTGGGCTGAGTCCTGCAAAAATGGAGTTTCCCTGAGCATTGCAGAGGGCTGGTTGGCCGCCTGCCCAGGGAAGATGGAATTCTGAGCTGTGGCCGGGTCAGGTGGCTTTAAATAATGGAAAATAGGACCTGAGCTCAGGTCCCCTCAGTACATGGGCTGCAGAGCCTCGGGAGCCCAAAAGAGCTGCCTCCTTCCTGGGAGCCTGCCCTCACAGTCCTGGGTTTGCCAGGCTGAGTCTGCAGGGGAAGAGGTTGAGCCTGAAGGAGAGGGGCTGCCTCCCAACTGGGTGGTCCTGCTGACTTCAAGCAGGAGGTGACACCAAGTGAGCCACTGTCATCCCAGTGGCTCGGGAGGCTGAGGCAGGAGGATAGCAAGTTGGAGGCCAGCCTCAGCAACCTAACGAGGCCCTAAGCAGCTCAGTGAGACCCTGTCTCTAAATAAAATATAAAACGGGCTGGGGACGGGGGCTCAGGGGTGAAGCATCTCACTGGAGATGACCTCAGGGCCTCCTGGTCCAGCTCAGAGGCCAGGATGTGGCCACTCTGCCCCCCAGCTCTGCCTCTCTGGTGCCTGGTGGCCCTCTGTCCCCTGGTCTGCATGCTCCAGAGCCCCGTGTGACACGGGTTCCCCCTACCCTGACACCAGAAGCCAGCGCTTTTGGAAACACACATTTCTGCCTGCTCCCTGTGTGGCCAGGTCCAGGGAGTGACCTCAGAACCCCTCGGCCTCTTGCAGGGGAGAGGTGATCAATGGGGGCTTCGGCCTTGTGCTGGATGGGACCCCAGAGGCCGAGCAGAAAGCAAGAGCGATGCTCAGCTGGGACGTCTCCAATGGCGTGAGTACCCCCCGGACCCCCGGCTCCTCTTCTACCCCATCTGAGGTCTCGCCTCCGTAGCAGATTCAGACTGCAGATCGGGGCCAGAGTTCTCCAGCACTCAGGGGCTCCTCCCGCCCTCCCTGGCCACTCCAGTGTCACTCCAGACCTTTTCTAGAACCTTCTTTGCAGTCTCTGACGCTGATCTCGCCTGTTCAGTCCAGCCTGTTGTCTCTGAGGTGGCCCCAGCAATCCCAGCCCTTCCTCTGGGCAGAGCCACCCCCAGTGCTGAAAGGTCTCACTTGGGGCTGGGGAGGGACCTCACTCAACCACGTAGCTGCATTTTTTTGGTCCCAGGGATGGAGCCCAGGGGCGCTTCACCCCTGAGCCCCCATCCCCAGCCCTTTTTCTATTTTATTTAGAGACAGGGTCTCGCTGAGTTGCTCAGGGCCTGGCTAAGTTGCTGAGGCTAGCCTCCACTTTCGATCCTCCTGCCTCAGCCTCCTGAGCCGCTGGGATGACAGGCGTGCGTCACCGCACCCATCTTGGAGGGTCTCATTCTTAGGCAGGTCCTGACGCGAGCTTGGCCCTTGGGTTGAACAAGGGTGACCCACCTTGGCTGTGATACAGCTTCGGGGCGGGAGGGGCTGGATTCCTTCCAGGACCATCTCAGGGAACCCAGGGGACAGTCAGCTCACACTGGAGGTCAGAGGCCAGATCAGAGGAAACCCAGGCTGTGAGCAAAGCGTCCGGGGAGCTCAGAGGCCATTGGTAGGACATTGGTTGACTGAGACCTCGCAGGTGGAGTCAGGTCACTCTTAAGAGATGGAGGAGGTGGCTCCGTTTCAGAAGAGGGCAAGTCCCTGAAGTGGCCCTCAGCAGAGGGGAGGAGGCCCACGGGGGGGGGGGGGGGAATTGGGCAGATGGGAAAGAGGGCTGGTCCTGCACATGGCACCCAGGTCCCCAGGGTGGCCTTCGGGAGCCATCATACCTGGTAGGGAGCTCAGCGGTGTTGACCCCAGAGGCTCCAAGGACCCCTTGATTCTGAGTCCCTAGGAGTCGTGAGTCCCATTACCCTGGTGTTGAGGACAGAACACCCGAGAAGTACCAAGGAGGGGGAGGAAGGGGGAGAGAGGGAGGGAGGGGGAGGGAGGGGAGAAGAGGGGGAGGGAGGGAGGGAGGGAGGGGGAGGGGAGGACAGAGAGGAAGGGAGGGAGGGGGAGAGGGAGGGGGAGAGAGAGGGAGAAAGGGGGAGGGGAGGGGAGGAGGGAGGGAGGGAGGGGGAGGGGGAGGAGGGAGGGGGAGGGGGAGGAGGGAGGAGGGAGGGAGGGAGGGGAGGGGGAGGGGGAGGGGAGAGAGGGAGGGAGGGGGAGAGGGAGGGAGGGGGAGGAGGGGGGAGGGAGGGGAAGGGGAGAGGGAGGGAGGGGGAGAGGGAGGGAGGGGGAGGAGGGGGGAGGGAGGGGGAGGGGAGAGAGGGAGGGGGAGGGGGAGAGGGAGGGAGGGGGAGGAGGGGGGAGGGAGGGGGAGGGGAGAGAGGGAGGGGGAGGGGGAGAGGGAGGGAGGGGGAGAGGGAGGGAGGGGAGAGGGAGGGAGGGGGAGGGGAGAGAGGGAGGGAGGGGGAGAGGGAGGGAGGGGGAGAGGGAGGGAGGGGGAGGAGGGGGGAGGGAGGGGGAGAGGGAGGGAGGGGGTGGAGGGGGGAGGGAGGGGAAGGGGAGAGGGAGGGAGGGGGAGAGGGAGGGAGGGGGAGGAGGGGGGAGGGAGGGGGAGGGGAGAGAGGGAGGGGGAGGGGGAGAGGGAGGGAGGGGGAGGAGGGGGGAGGAGGGGGGAGGGAGGGGGAGGGGAGAGAGGGAGGGAGGGGGAGAGGGAGGGAGGGGGAGGAGGGGGAGAGAGGGAGGGGGAGGGGGAGGGGAGATGGAGGGGGAGGGAGAGGGAGGGGAAGAGGGAGGAGGAGGGAGGGGAAGGGGGAGGGAGGTGACCTTGGCAACAGGCTGGAGGAGGGGGACGCGTCCCGGAGGATCAGCGTTTTACGGCCTTTGAGCCAGGCCCCTGCCGACCCCACCACCCGTCACCTGCCCTGACTGTCCCCTGCCACCTCCCCTTGCTCCAGGTGGCCCGGCGCTGCTGGTCGGGGAACCCAAAGGCCTATGAGATCATCTGCCAGACGGTGCGGGAGAACGATGGCTTGGAGGTGACGCTGCCCCATCCGGTGGCAGATGAGGGCACCCTGCAGCAGGCCCTGCGGCCCTGAGAGGGCGACACCCCAGCACCCCTTCCTCGGCCTGTCCCCACCCTCCCAGCCCCAGCGCCGGGTCTCCCCCTGCATATGTCCCCTCTGGGCCACAGGCTTGTGTCACCCTCTAGTGTCCTGGACTGGGGGACCATGACCACTTCATCACACAGACGAACCCGTCCAGGCCCAGAGAGGTGAAGCCATTTGGCCATGACCACACAGCTTGGCTGGGAGCCCAGGGAGGACAGGGTTACGGAATGGACACCAGCGTGGGGCGTCCCCAACCGTGAACCCTGGCCAAACTGGTCACCAACCAGCTCCTTCGAACGCCCCTGGAGGTTTCTCTGGCTGATTGTGTCATCTGATCTGCCACCACCCATTTTTCTCCTTCTGTCTGTCTGTCCGGCCCTCAGTGCCCCAGGCTTGGGGACACACAGGTGGAGCCTCGGGAGAAGGACAGTAAATAAAGGAAAAGACAGAGAACTGTGTGCACCTGACATCGCAGGCTGGGGGGACCAAGCAGCAGAGTGACCCTCAAGGGAAATGGACAGGTGTCTGGGGTGTAAAGGACAGGGAGGGTCCTCCCCGGGGTTCACCTGGCCTGAGCCTCCAACAGGGGCCCTCGAGAGCTCTGCCGGGGACCTATGTGTCTCCCAGGCAGGGTGTGGGTCCCTGGGGTGAACTCCGCACCCCTTCCATTTCCAGGTGTGTTTGCACCAGGGATGGAACCCGGGGTGCTTAACCCCTGAGCCCCGTCCCCAGCCTATTTTCTATTCTATTTAGAGACAGGGTCTCATTGAGTTGCTTAGGGCCTCACTAAGTTGCCGAGGCTGGCCTCCAACTTGCGATCCTCCTGCCTCAGCCTCCCGAGCTGCTGGGATGACAGGTGTGTTTGTGTCATGGTGCCTGGCTCCTTCCCTGTCTTGAGGCACCAATGACACTTGGCCCCTTTCCTTTAAAGAAATTCATTAGGCTTTGTTAACGAGACACCAAACCTTGAATAACCATTTAATTTATTTACAGTCTGATCCTCATGGAGGATCATTGATAGGATATTAGCCGGCTTCACAGTGACCAGGATAAAGCACCCCAGGCTCCGTCACATATAAATAGAGAAGGTTTATTTTGGCTCACAGTTTTGAACGTTCCCAACTGCGATCAGGGCAGCCCAACTGCTTTGGGACTCTGGCCAAATGGCAGATGGTAGAGGAGACTGTCCACTCTGTGAGCCCGCAATCCGTGCAGAGCTGGCCTCCTCCTGTTTGGGTTCCTCTGTGTCACTAATGAGCTCAGGTATTGATTAGATTCTAGCAGGGGCCTCTTATCCAGCCTCCCTGCCTCCATTCTCACCATATGCTGGAGACTTTGCTTGTAGAGAAATCTCTATAAAATGTCACACCTCTGCCTAAAAACCCACAGAAATTCCCCTGACTCTTACTGGAGTCTCCAGTATCTGAGAATCTCCTGCCGATAATACTTCCCGGGGAATGCGATGTGGCAATATCAATGTATCAATATTAATATCTGTTCCAGCCTCTACTTTAAATTCTTTGGGTAGATACATGCAGAGGTCTGATGGCAGAATCCTGGGGTGATTTTAATGCTTCATTTTTCCGAGGAACTACCACAGTATTTGCAATAGAAGAAAAATATTTTTAATCATAAAAAGTATGTTAAATACACGTGCCTGTGTCCACCCCACTTCAGAAGGAGTCACACTAGGAGCACTTGGTGTATCTTTCCAGAAAATTTCCCTTTTTTGGTACTAGAGATTGACCCCAGGGTACTTAACCACCGAGCTCCATCCCCAGCCCCTTTTTTAAAATATATTTTATTTAGAGACAGGGTCTTGCTGAATTGCCTAGGCCCCCTTGCTAAGTTGCAGAGGCTGGCCTCCAACTTGAGATCCTCCTGCCTCGGCCTCCCGAGCTGGGGGTACAACAGATCTGCACACCACCGCACCAGGCTCCACTCCTTCATTTCAGAGTGGGAGATACAGACGGTGAAGGAGCAGAGAAAGGGACCCAGAAAACAACTGCATGATGAGAGGGGTGTCAAAGGAAGGAAAGCGGGGGCTGGGTAAAGATGGACTTTGGGTCAGAACTTTAGCACAGCCTCCCAGGAGGATCCAAGGAACCGCTACAGAGTCTCTGAGGCAGGGACCAGGTGGGCCTGTTGGAAAAATTGGAAAGAAGTGAGTGGGGAGCCGGGCAGTGGGGTTCTGTAGCGGTGGGAGTGACCAATGCAGGAGTTGGGTGGGAATCGGAGCCCTGTGTCGAACAGGTGCGGTGGGAGGCAGTCGGGTGAGGGGAGGCTGAAGGCCAGCTACTCGGTTACTTTTTTGAGTTTGGATTTCAGTGGTGGTCACAGCGAATTTGGATGGAATCTGAGGAGACGGAGGAGAGGGACAGGGTGGCCGGGGAGGATGAAGCAACTTAGATTTTGCAACCTGAGGCTGTGTGGACTTATACAGTTGGCCACCTAAGCAGAGTCCCATCAGGGAGGACCTGCGGGCTAGGAAAGGCTCTCGGGCAGTGCAAGGAAGGTCTGGGAGCCGGGGGGGGGGGGGGGGGGTTGGAGTGAGCTTCAACACGCTCCTGAGGAAGCTGTCCAGCCGGTGGACAGCTGTACATTCTGACTGCCAGTTCCTGGCTGTGTGACCTCAGGCAAGACACTCAGTCTCTCTGTGCCTGTTCCTTCGTACGTGCGAGTGTGAAGATGAATCAGCTCATAGTCACAAAGCCCAGTAAACGCTTCCAGACGTTGTGCGAGCGTCCGAATTAATCCCTTGGCCTGCGCTAACCAGACCCAGAACCTCCGCCCTCCAATGCATCAGAGCCGAGCGCGCAGAAGGGACGCCCCGCCCCCGCCCCCGGAGCCCCGCCCACGGCCCGGCGGCGCCCCACCCGCAACGCCACGGTCCCGCCCCCCGGCGCCGCGCGCACGGCCCCACGGAACAGGCACTGGCGCCCCGCCCACAGCCCACGGCCCCGCCCCCCGGCGCTGCGCGCAGGGCCCCGCCATTCGGCGCCCCGCCCACAAGACCACGGTCCCGCCCATCGGCGCCTCGCGCAAGGCCCCATGGCATCCCCACTCGGCGCCCCGCTCACAGCAACCCACTCCGCCCCCCGGCGCCACGCGCAAGGCCCCACCACTCGGCGCCCCGCCCTCAGCCTCCGGCCCCGCCCCGCGACGCCGCGCGCACGTCACGACGGCCCAGCAGCCCCCGCGCGGCACGCTCGCTGTGGCGCACGCGCGGCTCGGAGCTGGACTCCAGGCCGTCCTCCGCGCCGGGCCTTGGTGGCGACCTCTTCTGGCGGCGGCCACTCGGCGTCGCGCGCATGCCCGGGAGGGGCGGACCGTTCTTCCTGCGAGGCGGCGGCACCGACGCCGCTGCTGGGCCCAAGATGGACCTCCCAGCCCTGCTCGCCGCCCCGGCCGCGCGCGGAGGCCAACATGGCGGCGGCGGCCCCGGCCGGCTACGCCGCGGCCCGGGACCGCCCCTGAGCGCGGGCCCGGGCCGCCGCCGCCTGCTGCTGCTACGGGGCCCGGAAGATGGCGGGCCCGAGCCGCGGCGTGAGGAGGCCCCGGGGCCCAGCCCGCCGCCCCCCGAGGACGGCGGCGACGCCTTCGTGGTGCTGCTGGAGGTGGCGCGCGGCGCCGCCGCCGAGGCCCCGGGAAGGCGGGAGGCCGAGCCCAGCCCCGGCGCGAGCCCCGCCGGCCGCCCTGAGCCGCCCGGCCCTGGCCCCGTCCCGGCCGCCGCCCCCGGCGCGGCCCTCGCAGGCGCCGTCGCCCTCGACCGCCGGGACCTGCTCGTGCGCCTCGACCGCGGCGTCTTCACGCTGGCGCCGCCGCCCGCGCCGGGGCCGCCCGCGCCGCGCCCGCCCGCGCCCCCGGGCCCCGCCGCCGCCGGCCGCCGCGCGCCCCCGGGCTACCGCTGCCCCGAGCCGCAGTGCGCGCTGGCCTTCGCCAAGAAGCAGCAGCTGCAGGTGCACCTGCTGACGCACGGCGGGCCCCAGGCGCGCCGGCCCTTCAAGTGCCCGCTGGACGGCTGCGGCTGGGCCTTCACCACCTCCTACAAGCTCAAGCGACACCTGCAATCGCACGACAAGCTGCGCCCGTTCGGCTGCCCCGTGGGCGGCTGCGGCAAGAAGTTCACCACCGTGTACAACCTCAAGGCGCACATGCGCGGCCACGAGCAGGAGAGCCTCTTCAAGTGCGAGGTGTGCGCCGAGCGCTTCCCCACGCACGCCAAGCTCAGCTCGCACCAGCGCAGCCACTTCGAGCCCGAGCGGCCCTACAAGTGCGACTTTCCCGGTAACCGCGGGACCCGCGCCGCTGGGGGTGGCCGGCGGGGACCCTTCGCTGGGGTTGCACTTGAAGGTTTTTCTTTCAAAAGCACCAGGGGTGCTGACCACGGACCCACACCCAGCCCTTGAGAGACAGGATCTTGCTCGGTGGTCGAGGCTGGCCTCCAACTCGAGATCCTCCTGCCCCAGCCTCCCCGTTGCTGGGATGACAGGCGTGCGCTCTCCCCCGGGCCCGGTTCCATTGGAAATCTTAACCCTGCCCTGCTGCGGGATTGCTGCAGCCAGGTAGCACCCGCCGTCTCGGCCGTCTGGGGAGGAGGCTTCCTTTAGTGAGAGTGATGACGTGTCCTGGGGTTTTGTTATCAGTCAGAGCTTTATTTGGCTTAGGTGTGTTGTTTAGAAACATGGACGGGTGCAGTGTTGTTCTGGAGGAACAGATGAACAAGGCCAGGGACAGCACTTTATTGCACCGAGGGAGTCACCCGCTGCAGGTGTCTGGTGTGTCCCATTTCTTGTGCCTTTTGGACTTTGACGTTATTTTCACTGCACTTCAGCGCTTTGTGAAGGGTAAGAGGTTTCCTCCTCTTGCAGATGAGGATGCAGGTTTCTAGCACCGGGCAGGGTGATGTCCCCTGCAGGTTTTCTCCTCCACCATGTGGACCTGCAGCCCCTGGAAACGCTAAGACACCAACACAGTGACCTCTGAGCCAGCGTAGGCAGGAGAACACTCTTGGTCCAGAGGACAGGAGTGTGGGAAAGGAGTGGGCTGGTGGGAAGCAGGGTCTGCCTGTGTTCAGAGCCTGGGCGGGGGGTGGTGACCGAGGCAGCTGTGGGATCGCCAGGTAGTGGCCACAGGACGTTTCCCATCCCGTTCATTCAAACATAACCTGAGCCAGTGCCTCGCGTGTGAGTCGTGAGCACAGACCCCACGGACCTAGGAACGCAGGCGGTATCAAGTGTGTTAGGACTCGAGTATCTTGAGAGTGCCACTTCGTCCCCAGGTCCTGGGGCGCCCTGTTTTGGAGACCCTTATCCCACCGGCTGGAAATCTTTTTTTTTTTTAGCTGTAGCTGGATGCAGCACCTCCATCTCTCTTCTCTATTTTTGTCGGGTGCTGAGGTTCGAACCCAGGGCCTTGCGTGTGCACGAGGCAAGCGCTCCACCGCTGAGCCCCAGCCCAGCCTTCGAATCAGCTTTTCGAAGCTGGAGGTGGCTGTGACCCTGCTGTGATAAGAGCTTCGTCCTGTGGTTCAGGGATGCAGGTCAAGGCCAAGGACCCTGGGATTGCACTAGCTCCTCACTGGGGTTTGGTAGGCACAGAGAGCAGCCAGCGCAGCGCCATCAGGTGTCCCAGGAGTCTTTCCATAGCCTGAGCCAGGGCGATGGTGGGGACCCCAGGTAGCAGTGGCCATAGAGGTAGGGTCCAGAGGTGGCAGTGCTGATGGGGACAGGGGGACCTTGCCAAGGCAGAGGGTCGCGTTAAGATGAGGTTGAGCGACTGAAGGAATGCACCCCAGCACACTGTAGGGTGCCATGGAGGGGACATTGGGGCTTAGGAAGGTCCCCGCTGCCTGGGTACAGGAAGCTGGAAGGAGGTCCCCAGGCGGCCTTGCTCAGGGCGCTGCGGTGCCACCTGCCCTCGCTCCCAGACCTCGCACTTCTCGGGAAAGGCCGACAGGTGTCTCCACAGGGCAGCAGCCCAGCTTGGTTGTCAAACATGGCTGGGGAGGCCAACGATGGCCAAAGGCAGCCCCTGGGGCTGGCGAGGCCGCCAGGCACTGAGGGTGGAGTGGGGACAAGGCAACCGAGCAGGAACCTGAGGAACGGGAAGGGACACGGAGACGGGGAGGGGGGACTGTCAGAGGAACCCCAAGTGCGGAGGCCCAGGAAGCCGAGCCTGTGGGTAGGCGGGCAGGACACGTCCACTGGCGCTTAATTTTCCTGGGGTTCTTTTGGGGACCAGCAGTGGCTCTTGAGTCCGTGGAGGGCAGGACTCCCGCCTGCAGATCAGCGCGACAGACTGGCCTCCGATGGCTGTGACCATAGGGCCCTTGGTCAGTTAGTTTCCCTGTATCCAAGTCACAGTGCAGCAAGTGGCCGCCGTGGCCATCCTTTCTATAGCCATCACGTGGCCACATGTCCCCGGTCACAGTCAGGACTCTAGAAATGGCTTTTGAGTCACCATCTCCCTGTCTGCTCAGCATGGGCATGTCCCAGGCTGTGGCCAGCATCCGGGCTGTGGGCAGTGTCCCGGGTTGAGGCCAGCTTCCACGCTGTGGGTAGTGTCCCAGGTTGAGGCCAGTGTCCAGGCTGTGGCCAGCGTCCCTGGCTGTGGGCTGTGGCCAGTGTCCCGGGCTGAGGCCAGCGTCCAGGCTGTGGCCAGCGTCCGTGCGCTGGGTCCCGGGCCAGAGCGGGCTGTTTCTCTGTGCAGGCTGCGAGAAGACCTTCATCACGGTGAGCGCCCTCTTCTCCCACAGCCGCGCGCACTTCAGGGAGCAGGAACTCTTCCCCTGCTCCTTCCCCGGGTGCAGCAAGCAGTACGACAAGGCCTGCCGCCTCAAGATCCACCTGAGAAGCCACACAGGTAGGAGCAGGCGCCCCACGGGTGCTGGGGCGACAGTCCCCTCTGAGATCCTTCGGGTGCGTGACCCTGCTTTGCAATTTTTCTTTCTTTGACAAGGTGAAAGGCCATTTATATGTGACTCGGACAGTTGCGGCTGGACCTTCACCAGTATGTCCAAACTCCTGAGGCATAAAAGGTAGGTAGGCCTGCTGACGGGGGGGCTGGCAGCTCTGAAAGTGGGTGAGCTATTTTAGGTGGTTTTAAAAAAATGCTCAGTATGAACTGGCCTGGTGGCGCATGCGTACAATTCCAGCAGCTCAGGAGGCTGAGGCAGGAGGATCGTGAGTTGGAGGCCAGCCTCAGCAACAGTGATGTGCTCAGCAGCTCAGGGAGACCCTGTCTCTAAATAGAATACAGAATATGGCTGGGGACTGGGCTCAGTGGCCGAGAGCCCCTGAGTTCAATCCCTGGAACCGAAACAAAAAACCAGTGTGTAGGGATTTTTGAAAATCGGGAAACTGTGAAGAAAATTGTTCAGAGTCTCACCTCCTGGAGACAGATTTCCTACATGTTCTTTATTGTCATCTTTTACATACGATGATTTTTTGTGTGTTTTTGGACACCATAGGATAAGTTTGACACTCGTGGGGCCTGTGTCCCAGGGATGCTTGTCACTTCACACGGGTGTCGAGTTCCATTTTCATGACAGCGCTGACCCTGCTGTCTCTGTCCCTGATGTCCAGGGAGACTCGGAGTGGGTGACGTGTCTGGGCTTGCACAGCTGGGCCCTGAGGTTTGATGGAAGAGCGATCCTTAGGAAGGGACACGGGACCCTCCAGCTTACAGCCTGAGCCTTGTGCCCACCTCTGCTGCCTCTGTGGCTTGGGGACAGGGGGACTTCTAAGCAGTGGGACTTTGCTGCTCCTGACTGTCCTGTCTGGGACTTGGGGGCAGCCTGGGCGTGCCAGTGAAGTGGCCGAGTGTGGAGCGAGCCAGGCAGTAAAGCCACACGTGGTCAGAGATGGCCGAGGTTTTCTGAGCTGTACTGACCATTTTTTCTAAGTGAAGAGACCTCATAGTTTGATGTAATTTTGCAGAATTTAAGCAGGGAATTGCTTCTGGGGCCTCTGAGGTCACTGTGCTGCTTCTCCTCCTGTCCCTACAGGAAACACGACGACGACCGGAGGTTCACCTGCCCCGTGGAAGGCTGTGGGAAGTCCTTCACCCGCGCAGAGCACCTGAAAGGGCACAGCATCACCCACCTGGGCACCAAGCCCTTCGAGTGCCCCGTGGAAGGTAGCGTGTCAAACTACTCCCAGCTCTAAAGGAGCGCCAGGCCACCTCGGCCACTAGATCCCGTGGGTGAGCTGAGCCTCAGGTAGGGGTAGGCCAGGTGAGTGCAGGTGGCAGTCTGGGGTTTACCTGGCCCACCTGGGGAGCAGCATCAGAAGGAGGCCCAGATCAGGGGTCCTGCCTGTTCGCCTCCAGCCCTGTCACCCGCTCTGTTGGTGGCTCTTGTGAAATAACATGTCTCTTCACGCATCTGACATGTTGCTCGGGCTCTGAATGGTAACTCGCTAATCTTGGGGCAGTTGGAAGGTAGCCAAGCTCGGCTCAGTGAGGCCCTGTCTCTTTTTGGGGGGGGCGGGGGGGTCCTAGGGATTGAACCCAGGGCCCTCAACCTCTGAACCCCGTCCCCAGCCCTGTTTTGCATTGTATTTAGAGACAGGGACTCATTAAGTTGCTTAGGGCCTTGCTTTTGCTGAGGCTGACTTTGAACTCATGATCCTCCTGCCTCAGCCTCCCCAGCTGCTGGGATGACAGGTGTGCACCACTGTGCCTGCCTAAACTCACTTTTTGTTGTTTTTTTTTTAGGTACCAAAAATGAAACCCAGGGGAGTTTAACCACTGAGCCATGTCCGCAGCGCACTCCCCCCTTTTATTTTGAGACACGGTCTTGCTAAGTTGCTTAAGGCCTCACTAAGTTGCTGAGGATGGCCTCCAACCTATAGTCCTCCTGTCTCAGCCTCCCAAGTCGCTGGGAAGACAGGCGTGCACCACTGTGCCTGGCCTAGGCTGACTTTTTTAAAGGGCTGTTAGTAAGCTGAGCACAGTGGCCACACTTGTGATCGCAGCGACTCAGGAGGCTGAGGCAAGAGGATCACAAGTTCAAGGCCAGCCTCTGCAACTTAGCATAGGCCCTGTCTCAAAGGCACCCTGCCACTTGAGCCACATCCCCAGCCCCATGTGTTTCTTTAAGGTGCTGGGGGCAGGGTTCACCTGACAGAAACCTGCTCTGTGGCCCGCCGAGCTGGCCCACGCTGGGGCTGCAGAGGCACTAGGGAGCAGCAGACCAGGGCAGACCTGGAGGTCCCCAAATGGGTGGCCTCGGCTGCTTCTCTGGGCTTGGCCTTCCCAGTCTAGAGAAGGGGAAGGAGAGGGCAGAGACCGCGCAGAGCTGAGACCAGCTCTTAGAACGTGGTGGACACAGTACAGGTGGAGTGGCCAGGCTGCGTGGGCTCATGGGGTCTCATCACGCTGCTGAGGTGGCAGGGAGCACGCCAGGGCCTCCGATAAGCCTGAGGCAGAGGGTGCCAGCCGGGCACAGGGAAGGTGTGCGAGGCGGGAGAAGCAGCAGGTGGACCTTCCCAGCCAGGGAAGGGCAGCGGCCAAGAGCTCGAGGTTTGCAGACGAGGGCCACGTCCAAGGTGCAGCCCAGTTGGGTCTGAGGATGAAAGGGGAGGGGAGGGGCCGCAGCCCTCCTGGGCAGGTGCCTGTGCCCAGCAGGGAGCTGGCAGCCAGAGAGAGGGCGGCCCACAGCTGGGAGCTGAGAAGTCGTCCACAACACTGGGCTGGACAGGGGCCGGGGCAGAGGTCACAGCTGCAGTCAGTGTCAGCTGAAGTGGGGACACTGAGGCGGGGCTGGTTGGGGAGAAGGGGTCTGGTTGGCAGTGTTGCACTTGACGAGCCTTTGACCCCATGAGTTCAGGTGCTGGGGGGCAGGGGGGTGCCGCCGCCCGGGGAGCAGGCAGGGCTACCAAGAGAAGCGGGCAGCGCACGAGGCATTGCTAAAACCATGGAAGTGGACGGGATACTCAATAAGCAGCGTCAATCAGGAGGCGGTCAAGGGCAGTGATGAGAAATAGGAATTCTGAGCTGGACGTGGTGACGTGTGCCTGTCATCCCAGCAGCTCGGGAGGCTGAGGCAGGAGGATCGCAAGGTGGAGGTCAGCCTCAGCCACTTAGCGAGGCCCTAAGCAACTCAGTGAGGTCCTGTCTCTAAATAAAATGCAAAACAGGGCTGGGACAAGGCTTGGGTCGAGGGCTCTGAGTTCAACCCCTGGTACCCCCCAAAAATATACAACTTCTGGAGTCCAGTCTGCGTGAATCCAAGTCCTGACTCTGCCCCGTAAGTCGCCGTGCGATCTGGGACACGCAGCTTTAAGTCTCTGTCAAGTGAGACCTCTGTCGTGGGGCTTGGTGACTTGAGTCGAGAAGCACACGTGCATCCCGTGTGTCTGCGGCTGATTGTTGGTTTGGGGGGTCAGAGCCTGGGACAGTCCTGGGATTGAAGTGGGACGTGGAAGGGTGCCCTGGCAGGAGCCCTGGAGGCAGTGCCAGCCTGAGGGGTGGTGTGTGAGGAAGGCCCAGCCCAGGGCGCGGTGGCCTGCCAGGGTCCTGTGTTGAGGGCAGGTTCTGTGGGAGACTCAGCAGATCCCTGGGAAGTGGCTTAGTGGGCGCTGGAGGGTGGGCGCTCTGAGCAGCCTAGAGGTCCAGATGCATGTGGACCAGGCATTGGGGACACAGGGAAGGGCCGCCCTGTTGGGAGGGTCGGAGGTGGGGCTTGCGCAAGATCCAGGACCTTCCTTGCGTGGCTGGGGCCCGTCCTGGGTGGGGGCGCTGCTGGCACCCGGGCCTGCAGTGGGGCTGTGAGGAAGCCCCACGGAAGGTGGGTCCGGGCTGTGGGGCAGAGGCCTGGCTACTCCACGTGCCATTGAAAGGACGTTTGGTCTCCCACAAGCGGAGGTTGCTCCCAGGTGGGCTCCGCAGATGGGTCAGGCTGCAGTTGTCCCTGTCATCCCCCTTGAGGCGTACACTCCCATTTTACACAAAAAGGAACCTGCGAAGGGTGTACAGCAGCTGATGGCCAGGCCGTCACCCACTCCCTGTGGCTCTGGCTCTGCCTCAGTGCCACCTGCTCTTGGGCCTTTTCCATCATCTGAGGGGCTCTGCTGTCACCTCTGCTTCTTGGGCCCCGCTCTGTGTCACCAGAGGTCCTCACAGACCAGGAGCCCAGCCCTGCACTAAAGTCCCTCCCTGTGTCTGGGCGAGGCTCCGGCAGGGCAGTCAGGATGTGGGGGGACACTGACTGTGTCAGCAGGAGGCCCCGGCTCTGGCTCCCTCGCTTCCTGCCTTGTGGACGCCTGGTCTCGGGGCGTCAGCTCCTGGGTGGTGAGGGGAAGGAGTTGGCCGGGCTCTGTCACGATAGGGCCAGCTTCCAAGGCCAGGACCGCGGCTGTGTGTATAGCAGCAGCTCAGCAGAGACGCCAAGGACCCCGGTGTCCTGCACCAGACAGCAGGGAGTTGACCGGACTCCACCTTCCCGGCAACCCTGGGAGGGACAGAAGGGCGCACAGCCAGCTCGGGCAGGTCACAGGCCAGAGACGCGGCTGGGGCAGGGCTTCAGGGTTCCTCGTATCTCTGGTCTCCTCGGAGCACCTTGCTCTGTTGTTTTCGGTTGTTTTGGTCCCAGGGATTGAACCCAGGGGCCCTTGACCCCTGAGCCCCGTCCCCAGCCCTGTTTTATATTTTATTTAGAGATAGGGTCTTGCTGAGTTGCTTAGGGCCTCCCTAAGTAGTTGAGGCTGGCCTCCAATTTGCGATCCTCCTGCCTCAGCCTCCCGAGCTGCTGGGGTGACAGGCGTAGGCCACTGCGCCTGGCAAGTGGCTTGTTGTGGATCTTCCTTCCTGTGGTGGTGTCCCTAGGGATACTCCGCGTGCGTCCCTTCAAGGCACCGGTGCTTAAAAACTGGGCCTCGTGGCCTGCCCTGACAGGGGTGTGCTGGTTCCTCGTCATCTTCAGGTGTGACTCTCCCCGTCCTCTGTTCCAGGGTGCTGTGCTAGGTTCTCCGCTCGCAGCAGTCTCTACATTCACTCCAAGAAGCACCTCCAGGACGTGGGCGCTCCCAAAAGCCGCTGCCCCGTGTCCAGCTGCAATAGACTCTTCACCTCCAAGCACAGCATGAAGGCGCACGTGGTGCGGCAGCACAGCCGGCGCCAAGGTCTGTACCTCCCATCCCTCAGGGTGCCACCGAGATGTGTGCCTGACCCTAAGGGACAGAGCCAGGCTGCTGCTCGTGGCTAGGTCGTGAAGTTACCCCAGGGGCCCTCGACCCCTGAGCCCTGTCCCCAGCCCTATTTTGTATTTTATTTAGCGACAGGGTCTCGCTGAGTTGCTTAGGGCCTCACTAAGTGGCTGAGGCTGGCCTTCAACTTGCGATCCTCCTGCCTCAGCCTCCTGAGCTGCTAGGATGACAGGTGTGGGCCACCACGTGGAGGGGACCTTGACAGGACCTGGTGGGGAGGTCCTGACTCGCCACAGTTTGCCTCTGCTCCTGGCCCGTGGAGGCTGAGCCGTGTGTTACTAGCCAGTGCTCCAGCACCACTGCCCTGGGTGGCAGGCAGCACCCCCCTGGGCACATCTCCCACTGTGGGCAGAGCCTCTTGGGAACTGCTGTGGAGGGGCCCTTTGCCGCCCACGTCTGTCACTTTTAAATCAAGGACGAAGTCTGTGTAGCTCCCATGGTGATGTGTTGTCAGAGTCTAGTGCAGGATTCACCTGCAGCTGGGCTTAGTAAGCGTCCATCTGTCCTCTGGCTCTGTCAGCCTGTCTTCAGGTGGCTGTGTGTCCCCGCCCCAGATACCTCCACCTGTGGTGGTCATCCCCGTGGCCTTTCCAGGCCCTTGCGTAAAGAGGTGTCCCTTCTAGCTGTGTGGGTGTCTTCAGGACGGGGTTGGTGGCTCCCCGGGGATTAGGCTGTGTCCCAGCCACTCAGGAGGCCGAGGCAGGAGGCCTGCAGGTTCAAGGCCGGCCTCAGCAGCGGGGCGCCACTGTGCATCAGAGTACAACAGAACGGGCTGGGCCGGGCTGGCCCAGTGCCCCTAGGTCCACCCCTAGGACCAGAGGAAGAGGAAAGTCGGTGTATGTGGTGGGCATCGTCTTGCAAGCCCGAGTTCCCGGGAGCTGCAGTCGTGCGCGAGGAACAACCCCAGAGCCTCAGCTGCCCCCTGACAGTCGCGGCCAGGGAGCCCCATGGAGATTCCCTGGCGGGAGTCCGCGGGAGGCCAGGTCAGCGCCACCCTGACTCCCTGTGCTCCTATTGGCTCGGGGCTTGAAGCATCTGCAACCTGGTGTGTGGTGTGCACCTCCACTCGGCAATCGTCAGAGGTTGTTGGACTACGTGGGTGTCACTATTTTGCTCCAAGGGTTTGCTGGTTGTTTGTTACTGAGTCGAACAATGGGCAGTCGAGTGCGTGGAGAGAGCAGGACCAGAAGTGCAGACCTTGGGCAAGAGGGTCCACGAGCGTCATTTCTGTGGGAGCGTTAGGGGGTCCACAGGGGCCAGGGAGCTGGGTGCTGGGCGCAGGGGACAGGGGCAGAGCCGCGCTCCGGGTTAGGGTTGGAAGTGGCAGGGAGAGAGACCTGGCCAGCCAAGTCCCAGACAGAAGGACAGGTCTTAGGGGTGGGGCTGGAACTTGGATCCTAGAGCCAGGCCTGGCCCCACTTTACTCCCCATGTTGACCTCCAGGTGGCCCCCGCTGATGTGGGGGGGTGACGTTGTGGAACGGGACACACTTTGACAAGACATGAGCTGACATAACCTGGCTCCAAAAATGTCCCATACATATAACGTCCTGTCATCTGTTCTAGAGAAATCCTTTTTAAGCCAGGCACTGGGGTGCATGCCTGGAGGCTGAGACAGGAGGATCCCAAGTTGGAGGCCAGCCTCAGCAACAGTGAGGCCCTAAGCAACTCAGTGAGACTCCGTGTCTAAATAAAAGACCAAATAGGTCTGGGGACAAGGCCAGGGGTCAAGGGACCCTGGGTTCAGTCCCTGATATCAAGAAAAGAAGAGACCCTTGTCGGCCTGAGGATTGAGGCGTGTGTGTGAAGGGCCTGACGTGTCCAAGCCACCCCCTCCCTTGGTGTCCCCTTGGTGTCCTGGCTGCAGTGGACCCCTGTTGGCCATCACCAGGCCGCCGCTCAAGAGGGTAGCAGATGTGGCCAGGAAGGTCTCTGGCCGTCAGTTTGAGCCTGACCGAGATCCTGTCTCCCGAGATCCCACGTAACAGGGGTGTCCATCCCCTGGCCCTGCGTGACGGATGTCCCTTCCTCTTGCAGACCTGGTCCCTCCCCTGGAGGCGCCGAGTTCGCTCACCCCCAGCAGCGACCTGAGCGGCCCCGGGCAGAGCGAGCTCAGCAGCTTGGACCTGGCCGCCCTCTTCTCGGAGCCACCCGCCAGCGGAGGTGCAGCGGCCGCAGGGTCGGAGGAGGCGCTGAGTTCTGGAATCCTCACCATCGACGTCACTTCCGTGAGCTCCTCCCTGGGAGGGACCCTCCCAGCTAACAGCAGCTCCTTGGGGCCCATGGACCCCCTGGTCCTGGTGGCCCACAGTGACATTCCTCCAAGTCTGGAGAGCCCCCTTATCCTGGGGACAGCGGCCACAGTGCTCCCGCCGGGCAGCTTCAGCGTGGAGGACGTGCACACGGTGACCACGGGACCCGTGGGCTGCCTGGTGGCCCTGCCCGTGGGCCAGGACCCAGCGGCTTTGACCTCCAGTGGCAACTTAGCAGCACACACCACCACCCCGGCCTCCACCAGTGCCCCCGAGCTGCCAGCCCCCATCAAGGTGGAGAGGGACCCGCCTGCGGCCCCACAGCAGGCAGGCCACGCGCCACCCCCACCAGTGTCCTGCAGCCCCCCGGAGCAGCACAGTGCCCAGGACACAGAGCCCGCTGCCAGCCCCGGCGGCCTCTACCTGGTATGAAGCACACTGTCCGTCGCCAAGTGGCTGTCCCTCACCTGGGTGGCGAGGACGTCCTGGACCGGTCCCTTCTATGCAGACATCTCTTACTGGTTTGCAGAAGGACGCAGCCCTTGGGGACAAACCGAATGTGCCCCTTGACCCGAGTCTGGAACTGCGAGTCCTGGCAGCCCCGAGCAAATCCCTTGCCCTCTCTGAGCCTTAAATCTTGGTGGTTCCTCAATCAGGGGATGCGGCTGGCTGTCCCTAGGCCTCTGACTGCGGGGATCCTGTCACCTGTGTTTGTGTTTCTTGAAAAAACCCGGGGCTGCTCCTCGTGTTGGGATGTGTGGCCTTCGTGCTTTTCACGTAGTGACAGATGGGCAGGGGCACAGCGGGGTGTGGGGTTAAAGGTCGTGGGAATTTTAAAAGAGGCCCAGATATTTTTCCTAAGTAGATTTAAGAAGAAGTGTGGGGGACAGTGTGTGAGGCCGGGTTCCCGGAGGGTCATAGGATAGTGGCCCAGGGCGAGGCTGGACGATGGAGTCTGATTATATTTATATCCCTCTCCACTTCATCTAACTTAAAGTAACTTAATTAAAGGTTCTTGGGAGAGTCTGCTTTCCTCAGTGTCCACTGTAGCCACCACAGATTTTTCTGGAAGGCACAGGATGGATTGGATGGTGACATTCCTGGTATTCAGAATGTCCACTTGACCCCAACTTAAAACGTCCCCTCTTCTGAAGGAGGCTCGGGGCCCCAGACGCCCCCCTGGAGCCCACTTTGGTATCTTTGAGCACGAGGACCGTGGAGGACCCTTGGTCTCTCTGGTGTCCTGCTCTTGGGTGGCCGAGGCCCTTCCATAGCGGTTGCAGAGCGACAGGTGACAGTGGGCAGGGGGAAGTGGCTGCACAGCAGAGCCACTTGGGATGGCGGGCGCCTCCCCAGAGCCATGGTGGGGTGAGGCGAGGAGCGCCAGACCCCGTCCTAACCCTTGTTCATTCTCTCGCTAGCTGTGTGACGTTGGGTTCCCTCGTGTCCCTGAGTACAAATGGTGTGTGGTGACTGGGCCCCAGGTATGATATTTGCTGCTGAGGGCCCGTCTTTCCCCCTCTGTAGTCACGAGAGTCAGGTGTCCCAGGTGGCAGCCGTCTGCTGTTGGGACAGAGCAGGGTCCACAGTGAGGAGGGGACAGCATTGCCCCAGGCCCGCCGTGCCCCCTTGGGACACACTGAGGCACAGGGAAGGCAGTCCGCAGGCCACCTTAGAACCTCCTGGAAGCCATCTCCAGTGTGTTCTCGGCTCCAAGGCCACCATGTTGGCTTCCCCGGGTGACAGGCTCAGGCTTGTGTCTCCGCCTCAGCTGGACATTGGAAGTGACTGCTGGGCTCTAGGGAGTCCCAGAGTCAGGGTCAGGGCGTTCTCGGTCCCTTGCCCACCCTCCTGCGCTGCGGAGATCGAGTGACTGACACCCTTTTCTTTGGTCCCAGGAAAGTGGGGGCTCAGCAAGAACTGATTCCCGGGCCGTGCAGCTAGCCCAGGAAAAAAAGGAAGGAGCGGCCCGCCGTGCAGGTGAGGCCAGGGCGCTGGCGCTGGGCGGGCGGGTCCCCGTCGCAGCCCAGGGCACGCAGAACCGCGCTCTGTGCAGAACACCCTTGGCTGACTCCGCGCCTTTACGCGCGCGGACTCCAGGGGACAGGGCAGCAGCAGTCTCGGGACCCAGCAGGTGGACGCGCCCTGTACTCACCCGGTTACAACGTAGGGGTCCCCACAGTGTCCGTTCCCCGGGCGGCTGCAGAGTGGCCAGGTGTCAAAAGAGCACCAAGCAGCCTCAGGTCCCCAACGTGGGCAGGGTGATGGCCCTAGGGCTGGGCTGCTAGTGCCCCAGGGCAGCGGTAGGTGAAGTCCCTGTGTGTCCTAGGGCATGTGGCTCCTAGTGCAGACTTTACGGTGACATCTCTGTGAGCAGCTGGTTTGGATCTTTAAAAAACACAATGAACCCAACAAGAGCTGGTACTTGTGGCCTTATGTTTCCGGCCCTCCCAAAAGTGGGGCACAGCACCTTGAAACTGGTAAACCCTTTGGTGACAGTAACACCGAGTTCTTTTAGGGTACTGTTTCTGAGTATCCCATTCGTCTTTTGTATTTACTTAGAATTCATTTTTAAAATGGGCAGGTAGGGTCAGTGGTGCAGTGTCCTGTCCCCCTCTCTATTCTCAACCACATCGAAGCTTAGTAAGAATAACTTCTCCTGGGTGTGCTGGTGCTGCCTGTCAGCTCAGCAGCTCGGGAGGCTGAGGCAGGAGGATGGCAAGGTGGAGGCCAGCCTCAGCAACAGCGAGGCCCTGAGCAACTCAGGGAGACCCTGTCTCTAAATAAAATGCAAAATAGGGCTGGGGACGGGGATCAGGGGTCGAGAGCCCCTGGGTTCAGTCCCTGGTACCCAAACGAACAAACCCTAGTTTCTGTTTAAGGGCTTCTTAAAGCAGACGTCCCATGTAATGAGGGTCACACAATCAGTGCTCACTGGGCCTTGGGAAGGGAAACCATCACGGGTCATGGAGTGCCGAGGACAGCGCGTGGAGAACAGGCAAGGAAGCGGGGGGCGTCTGTAGAAGGGACCCCCAGGCGCCAGGCACAGCTCATGACAGAAACCAGGCGCCTTCATGGACCCAGTTGGTGACCATGAACTTGAGGGAAAGGGCACTGCAGACAGGCAGGTGGATGGTGGCTAGGCCCTTAGGTGACGTTTGAGTGGTGCTCATGAACGTTCAGGTCATCCTTAAGAAATAAGCACATTGGCAGAATCGCAGTCACACGTTGTCACACGGTAGGTCTTCAGTGTCGAATCCCGCAAGTATCCAGACTAGACTTGTCACAGATGTCGTAGTCCCGAGACAGGTCCACATCAGAACCCACGTGAGGCCCTGTGCTCCTTTGGGGGGTAAGACTCTGTTCCAGCCGCAGGTTCTGTGTCTCCCTCCTCCCGAGCAGGTGGCCTGGGGACTGTCCCTGAGCTGGTGTGGCTTCTGCTGATGGCATCACCAAGGTGTCGCTGGGCGGGTTCCTGGTCTAGTGTGGGTTTCCTGTTACCTGGGGACCTCGTCGGTGGGTTCTGTGTGTTGACAGCGTTGGTGAAACTTTTCACAGGGGGTGGCCCTGATGGGTCAGGAGCAGCCTATGTGACATCAGGCGGCCCCCTTCACTCTGGGGATTGCTAAGATGTGCTGTCAGCTCTTCACTGAGAGCTGGGCGACGTCTGTATACAGCAGCGTCCCCGTCCCCACCCTTGAGGTGCGCTCACAGGAACGGGGACATGTGGGTCGTCTTTGGTTTTCCAATAAGACCAGCCTCTTGGTGTGTTTCGTTTGGGTTTTGGTTTTGCGATGCTGGGCTCCGACCCCAGGGGCTCTGCCACCCAGACCCCTTTGATCGTCTGTTTTGAGGCAGGGTCTCCCTAAGCTGCTCAGGGGCCTCACTAAGTTGCTGAGGCTGGCCTCGAACATGCGATCCTCCTGCCTCAGCCTCCCGGTCACTGGGATGACAGGCATGTCCCACATCATCTGGCCATTTGCTATAATTTCAAGAAAACTTGGTGCAGTCCTCTGTGCCCCCACATCGTACGCTGCCCAGCCTCTTCTGCTGTCAGCCTGTTCCTCAGTCCTAGTGCATCTCGGGGAGTTCTCTTGCCATAGTCCTGAGAGTTGACGACAGGCATTACCACCCCCCCACACCCCAGTGTCCTTGCTGTCCCAAGCGTACCGTGCTGCTGGGGACAATTGCAGGCTTTCCCACCCATGACCACACAGACGCAGCACTGTCGGCCAGGGGCAGCTGGGGCTGCAGATTCTGCTGGGGCTCCATCGCGTGGACGGACTGACCTTCGTGTCCAGCCCCTCCAAAGGCTGAGCTGGTGCTGCGTGACCTGAGGCTTCCACTGTTTGTCACACTGTCAGCGTAAGCCACCCGCTGGGTACAGAGGTGCTCTCACCAAGGACCAAGGACCCGCAGGTCACCTTCCAGGAGCCCGGGCAGGGTTGGCCCTGCACCGTGAGCCGTGAACCCTCTCTGGCTCCTGAGACTGCCCGCTGGTCGGAGCCCGCTGGGCCTGCCTGTGCTGTCCCTCCGCTTGGTGTCTCCAGTGGCCTTGGGCATCCATCAGTCAGGGGATAGTGCAGGGAGCCCCTCTCCCACTGACCGACTCGCTCCATTGGTGAGTTTCTTCTGTTCCTTCCACCGTGGTCATTGTTGGGTTAGGTCAACCTTAGCATCGTGGTGTGCCTGGGAACGTTCTGGGGTGGTCCCTGGGCGTCCCATCTCTGGGTGGACGTACCCACCTGGCCTTTCTCCCAAGTGCTTCCTCACTGTCCGGCACCCTCGGTTCATGGCGTTACTTGGCCTCCTGGACACCTGCGTCTTCCCAGGGCCTGGCTTCCTTTGGCTGGAGAAGGGCATCTGGGCCCAGGCCCTCTCCTGGCCAGCGCTGGGAAATGGGGTCACGCAGCGGCCCCCATGGCTGGGTTTGGAAATGAGGCATTTGGGATTCTAGAGGCATCCTACTATGCGCCTCACTGCCCCAGGTCAGTGCTTTGGTCCTCTTGAGCAGAGCATTTACCTAAGTAGGATCACGACCAAGGGGACACAGCCCCGTGCGAGTGGAGGTCATGTTTGGTGGCCCCATTAGCATTGGCACAGGTCGGGGAGCTGGGGTTTGAACCCTTGGCTTTGGGGATCGTGGCAGGCTGCCTGGGGATCCAGAGGAAGCCCAGGAACAGGACAGGCGCCACGTCTCGGAACTGTTGGAGTGACATCGTCCAACGCAGGCTGGACATCCCTGCTATCAATGTTGTGAAGGGCAGAGTGGGGACGTGGGTCTCAGGAAAGGTGCAGTTTGGGGTGACGGGATCTGAAGTCCCAGGCTGCCCCACGATGTTGCCCTTAACTGTCGATGACACCCCGGTGCTGGTCTCCACGCCCTTGAAAACAGGAACATCGGCTGACGGGGGATTCCAGGTGGGCGTCTGCCTTCCCATTGCCCAGGAACCCGGAGGGACAGCAGGCTCCGCGTGTGCCAGAAGGGACAGTGAACTTGGTGACAGAGGCCCAGGGCTTCTGTGTCACAGTAAGAACACGAGCGAGAGACAGACGGGGGACATGCCAGAAGCAGGCTCCCCCGGGTGTGGTCTGGAGGCACAACCCATGTCCCTGGGGCGGTGCAGAACCCAGACCAGACAAACCAGGGCACTTGGAAACCCGTGGGCAGGAGCCCACGAAACAGCCTTTACTGTTTCCTGACTGTAACATGTAAGTTACAGAGTGAAAATTACGTGGAAGACAAAACCTGCCAAACAATTGAGTAAGATGAGAAATAAAAGCTGGTCATACTTAGTCACTCCTGAGCAGGTGACTTCTCTGTAAAATCAGTCAAGCACCTACTTAGGCTGCAGTGGAAATTAAATGAGATAATACATGCAAAGTCCTCATAAGCACTCAGAATATGAGCTGCCCGTCACTGGGCGTGGAAGAGGACGTGGCAGGAGCTGGGCTCAGGCCTGTGCCACAGGTGGCTTCCTGTGAAGTCACAAAGTTCAGTGGAGTCGGCCTCTATTTCAGGAGGAAATAAGGGACAGTCCTAAGAGGAGTCAGATCCAGATTTTGATGCTTTTCTGTGACCAACCAAATTCAGATTTGAAAGAAGTTTCATTTGGGGCCAAAACAAATCTACCCTAGAGGGTGCACCCCCAGACGGTCCGCCTTCACTAGTCTGAGCAGATTGAGCGAGGATAAAAGGAAGCCCGGGGAAATGGCCCAGTCAGTAGGGAACGGAAATAAACGTCTCTCGTAAGCTAAATGGTGGTCACTGAGAATACTTACCACAAAGTGACCATTTTCCAAGAAAACAGCAGTCGCCATCATTCAAAAATGAGAATGAGCCTGGCGAGGTGACGCACGCCTGTCATCCCAGCAGCTTGGGAGGCTGAGGCAGGAGGATCGCAAGTTGGAGGCCAGCCTCAGCAACAGCGAGGCCCTGAGCAACTCAGGGAGACCCTTCTCTAAATAAGACGCAAAATAGGTCTGGGGATGTGGCTCAGGAGTTGAGGGTCCCTGGGTTCAAGAATGTCAACAAGAAGCTAGTGTTTGAGCCACACACTGACTGGTCACACAGGCATGTGGCATGTGCAGCACGAGCTGTCCCCGAGCTCTGAGAGATGGATGCTTCCCAGGACAAGCCGGACGAGATGCCCCTCAAAAAGAGCAGCAGACTGGTGGCTTATGGGATGGGCTCAGCAACACCCCTGAGACCCGGGAACACAGGTGACCTTTCTCACCCCCAGGGTCTAAGGGGACGTTAGGCAGGGCTAGCCAGCCCTGCAGTCAGGGGTCAGTGGGGACTTGGTGATTTTCCTAACAGATCTTGTGTTTGATTTTAAAAATGGACAGCGGTCAGCGGTGGAAATGAGAATGCGTGATAAAGATCTCTGTAGCCCAAGCCCACAGCCTGCCTTGTGCTTCACGGTGACAACACCGGCACCACACGGGAATCCCCAGGTGGCCCTGTCCCTGGCGTTGTGTGGCCTCCCGGGGCTGCTGGCCACTGAAGGAAACCAAGAGAATAACTTGGACCCCTGCCTCCGGTCAGTCAAGGGAGCCAGTCACCAAAGACCAGGTGACACTAATGGGTCATGTGACAAGACCGAGGGAGGAAGGAGTAGAGGGGACAGGAAAGGCCATACCTGCAGGCGTGGAGGAGGGGCAGCGCCCTTGGCCAGGGAACAAGCAGACCAGGAAGGACCTGAGGCCTGGTCATAGAGGAGGGGACATTGTCGTAGAGTGGAGGAGGCTGGGTTGTTCGGGCCTTGTAGGCCATTCTCACAACTCTGGCTTTCCAGTGGGAATTGGAGGAGAAAACATTAGAGGGGCTAAATAGAAAAAGGACCTCCCCAGACGAGATATGGTGGCCCACGCCTGTCATCCCCACAGCTCGGGAGGCTGAGGCAGGAGGATGGCCAGTTCAAACCCAGCCTCAGCAACAGTGAGGCCCTAAGTACCTCAGGGAGACCCTGTCTCTAAATAGAATACAGAATAGGGCTGGGGACGGGGCTCAGGGGTTGAGGGCCCCTGGGTTCAATCCCCAGTAACCCCCTGCCCCCCAAAAAAAGTACATCCTGTCTTTTAAAGGTCGTAGTGGTGACTCTTGGAGATTCACAGATGGGACAGGGTGCCAGTAGGGGTTTTTCTCCCCCATCCAGTAAAGACAGGAGTGGCTGAGATCCGGGGGGCGACTGAACACGAGGATTCTGAAGGGAGAACCCCAGGACCTGCTGACAGATGTGGGGTGTGGGGAACCCATCATAGAACTGCCAGCCCTCCACAGCGTTGTACCAGGGTCTCATTGGAAAACCCAGGACTTCAGGACCACGTGGGCAAGAATGGCCAGGGAGTGGCACTGTGGTCCTCTAGACTGTCACAAGGCCACAGCAGCTCCACATGGGAAGGGTGCTGGTGTCCCACAGGCAGAGCCAGCAAACCAGCATCCAGCATAGTGACAAACAGACCCAGGACCAGGGCCATCTTCATATATGGAGAAGGTGGCTCTTCATGTGATTGACACATACAGCCCAGCCTTGGGGAAAACGAGTGAGTCCCCTACAGAATGACTGAAGATAAGGCTGGCTGTGGTGCCCGCCTGTCATCCCAGCAGCTCGGGAGGCTGAGGCAGGAGGATTGCAAGGTGGAGGCCAGCCTCAGCAACAGCGAGGCCCTAAGCAACTCAGTGAGACCCTGTCTCTAAATAAAAGGTCTGGGGACAGGGGTTAGCACCCCAGGTTCAATCCCCGGTACCCAAGGGGGGGAAGAAAGAAATAAATGGAAATGAGACAGAAGTCCAGGGCCAGCCCAGAAGGACAGGAAGCTTCCTCGCGGACTTAGCTGGACATTACTGGACGGTCGTTCGATGTCTCCACAAGCAAAAACTAATACTAGTCACGCTGACGTTGCCTCCTCCAGTTGCACCTTTGCATCTCGCGGTGGAACCTTCTAGGGCTCCGTATGAAGGTACCCGTGCCCATGGCCACTCTGCGGAGCTGCTAGTGAGGGGACATTGCCAAGTCAGATGGTCATGAAGCCATGCACGTGCTCCTGTTCGGGGTGAACCCACGTTCCACACACACGCTGGTGTGTCCCCAGACCGGAGCCTCTGCTTGCCGAGAGAGGGACACAACAGGACGCATGGGTTGTGGGCTCCTCCCCGAAGGTTTTGTCATGACCACGTCTGCTGCTTGCATCTGAGAACACGTGGATTGTGACATTAAAAAATCAACTTCGTAACATGTCCCCAGGCCCTTCGGTGTCCCCACTCCCCCCAGACGCTGAGGCACGGGGTCCCTTCTTGGACAAGAAGGGACAGAAGCCAGGTCAACAAGCCTGTGCCTCCTACCATGTGTCTTAGTAGCACTGCGGTGGCTGGCAGAGGGGTGAGCTGTGCCCTGATGTCATAGCTCTCACATTCCCATGGAGAATTTGGGTGGAATTGAGCTTTAAAAGTCGATCTGTGGTCTGATTTATTTACTTATTTATTTTTGGTACCAGGGATTGAACCCAGGGGCCCTCAACCCCTGAGCCCCGTCCCCAGCCCTATTTTGTACTTTATTTAGAGACAGGGTCTCCCTGAGTTGCTCAGGGCCTCGATCAGTTGCTGAGGCTGGCCTCCACCTTGCGATCCTCCTGCCTCAGCCTCCCAAACCCCTGAGATTCTAGGCGTGGCCACTGCACCCGGCAGCGATGTGAGCTTTAGAATTATTGTTTTCACTTTCACACAAAAATCTCTGGGTATCGTGGTGACAAGGTTTCTGCCTCCTCTTCCATGGCTGCTACGGTGAAGGCAGAAGGGCCACCATGAAGGGAGTTGGGAGGGGTGGTGGGAGGGCAGGGCCTGAGTCCGTGTCACTCCTCCTCCTAGAAGAGTCCTCTGGTCCCTGTGTAGCCGTCCACCTGAGTGTGGGGAAGCTCCACGTGGCGATGGAGTCTGGGCGAAGCGTCTTTGTGGTCAGGGGTCCATTAGCCCCGGGTGGGCCCTACGTACCCCCCTGGGGCAGCTGTGGCCTGGCGGGCGGCTTCCCAAGGGCAGGCTGGGCCCTGTGCCCAGAGGGCCTGTCTGTCTCAGCCACAGGGCGCCTCTGCTGCAGCCGTCCAGAGAGGCTGGACAGTCCCCGCAGAACAGGACGCGGTCAGCCCAGCTAGCTCCTCCTTGTCCCCCTTCAACTCCAGCTTCCCAGGGTCCCTGGGCGCCAGACCCCGTCGGTGGCAGGAGCGTTGGCAGGAGGTGAGGCGCAGGTGGCCACATCCTTGCTGGGTTCTGTTGGGTGACAGTGATGACGATGTCTCTTGTAGTGGTTTTCTACATACTGTCCCCTTCTGGACCCTGGTGACATCCAGCCCTCCCTCCCCTTTAGCCCTGGGCTGGGAGGTGGCCTTCTGCTCTGCTGAGGTCTGAGTGTTTGCTGCTGAGAACGCAGTCACCTCTCTGGGACGCCCAGAGAGATCCTGAAGGAGTCCCCCGCTAGAATCGGCCACTTCAGGGTAGTGACTGTGACATCCAGTGCCTCAGGGTTCCCAATACTGCTTCATGGTCTCCTTGTCACTGAATCGATGGCACATTTGTGTGTTGCCAACAGACACGCACATCTGTGCCCAGAGCACGAGCCATCCCCCGAGTGCCACGCGGTGAGGGCCACCGTCATAGCAGGTTGGAGTACCTGCTGAGCAAGTGACAAAACACGCTCAGACCACTTGAAGGTTCTAAATAGAAACTGTTAAAGTCATGCGCAAAGCCAGCACACCCTCGGTCCTGAGGTCTCCCAGGGAGATGGTAAATAGCCAAGGCCGTGACTTGTAACTCGGAGCCCTTAGCCGGGCGCCGTGGCCCATGCCTATAATCCCAGCAGCTCTGGAGGCTGAGGCAGGAGGATCACAAGTTGGAGGCCAGCCTCAGCAACAGCGAGGCCTTGTCTATAATAAAGTACAAAATAGGGCTGGGAATGGGGCTCAGGGGTCGAGAACCCCTGGGTTCAATCCCTACTAACCCCCCCAAAAAGAAGTTACCCCCTTTATCTGTCTCTACGATCTTCTGACATTTAGGTTCTTATGTCCCCAGTTTCTAGAGGAGGAGCCCAAGGCTAGAGAGACCACCCACCAACATCCCTGTAGCTAGCAGAGGGTAAGATGAGGAACAGAAGCCACGGTAGAGTGGCCCCAGACTGTCCCCGAGCTTCCTGGCTCATGGTGCACAAGAAGACCCTGTCACTCATCTTGAACAAGCAGATCCGGAGATCGCAAGGGATCCTAGCGCACCGACTTGGGATCAGGGACGCTCCCCTGGGATTAGGGTCAGGTGAGCCCATCAATGCACACGGCCACATCACAGGCCAGAGAAAACCAGGCCGTGGGTGACACAGGCTGTCACAGCCTTGGCCAGCGGCAGGACCCAACAGATCCCAAGTAACAGACGACAGGTGTCTCAGTGTAGGGTTACCAGAGGTGGCCACCACCAGGCGGTGACCGATTCCACTTTATGGAAGGTGCACGGAGACGGCCACCCAGGGAGGAGGGACAATTCTCGTCAGTGCTCTGGTGATCGGGCCCAGAAAGCCCCCAGGAGCCTGCTCAGATAGATAGTCCAAGGAGCAGCGGCCAAGACACGCTGCGCAGTGGCCCCCGGAAACCAGCTCTTCTTCAAGATTGTTCAGGGGAAATAAGGAAATACAGCTGATAATGTCTAATCACGTCGTACTCGTCTCCAGGTCACCCGTGAATGGCAGGGGAGCCAAGTGTGGCGAAGATCGCGGAAGGGACCTGTAAGGGACTTACCTGGAAATGCTTAATTCCTATGAACTTACGTATTTTCTTCAGTTCCTTCCAAATCCCAAAGGAATTTAAAATTAAAAAAAAAAAAATCACTGGTCAGTTTGAAGCTCATCTGGGTGATAACCAGACCAGTCGAGCAGGTTGAAGGAGCCCATTAAAGTGGGCTGGCCAGGAGAGGTGGCCCACGCCTGTCATACCAACAGGAGGCTGAGGCAGGAGGATCATGAGTTGGAGGCCAGCCTCGGCAACAGTGAGGCCCTGAGCAACTCAGTGAGACCCTGTCTCTAAATGAAGTATAAGAAGAGTATGATGGTGACATCTGTCAGGATTAATAGGATGATCTCTGGTTCTGTGTACGCGGGTCTGGATTCTCCAGTAGATTGACCCCCTGGGTGACATCCACACATTTAGCCAGGAGGACACCACTTCTGTCTCTGTCTCTTGCTTCTTAGACGACATAGAGTGTGACCCACATGTTGGGCATTGAGCTCTTGCAAAATAAACAAGAGATGGCTTTGATTTATCTCGTGTGTGTTTTCTGGTGCTGGTAGCTGACCCCAGGGCCTCACAGGTGACAGACACACGCCTCACCACCGCAAAACTAAACAGTGAATGTCATGTAGACGTCCCTTCAATCCTGTCTGCTTTTAAAAGCAATGTAAAAGGTACTTTGTTCTTTCACGAAGCCTTTCTTGACTCTACAGTGGTTTCTCTAATATTCCTTGAAATATGGTTCAGTATATTTATTTGAATTAAAAAATAATCAGAAGATGAACCTACCTTACCCTTCGGAGGCTGGCCTTGCTACTTGAGACTCCTGACAGACGTTTCCCCAAAATTGAGACACTCGATCTGCAGCAGAGGTATCATGACATTATATTAAACCACCTGAGAATTTGACTTACAAAATATTTTAATTGACACAAACATCCACAGACCAGGTCTCATTGTAGCAATATTAAAACACAGAAAGGTACATGAACTAACAGGGGATCAAAGTCCTTCCCACCTTTGATGTGTTGATTTTTTTTTTTTTAAACCAGGGATTGAACCCAAAGGTGCTGAACCACTGAGCCACATCCCCAGCTCTTTTTATTTTTATTTTTTTCCATTTCAAGACAGGTTCTCACTAAATTACCTAGGGCCTCACTAAGTTTAGCTGAGGCAGGAGGATCGCAAGGTGGAGGCCAGCCTCAGCCAAAGCGAGGCCCTAAGCAACTCAGTGAGGCCCTGTCTCTAAATAAAATACAGATAGGGCTGGGGATGGGGCTCAGGGGTCGAGGTCCCCTAGTTCAATCCCTGGTACCCCAGCGCCCCCAAAACACCCCAGCAGATGTAGTGGTCTGACATCTCCCTGCGAAGGGCCCTGCCCACCGTCGCCCTGGTACCCTTTGCCCTTCAAAGAGACGGGCCTCAGAGGCCGAGGAGGAAAGCGGTGGCCAGTGCGTGGATGGGACAGTAGCATGTGGCACCGTGCCTGTGACCCGAGGCCTTGGCCCCTGGCCGGCCTACCTGGGGCTATTCCTGTTGAGGATATCAGGTCCCTCGGGTGCTGCAGAGTAACTGTCCATGGAAAGACTGTCCCCAGTGCCACCTCAGTGGGGCCAAGAGCCACTGATGGATGGCCGATTGGATCTGCTGGGTCCCATCTCTCGTTTCAGGAGCCCCCAAATCCACTCAGAGGAAACTCAGAGATGGCCAGTGTGGGCCTCCCTGCCTCCAGGGAGGCCAAAGCAGCTGCCCACGTGGGAGCCTCCCCAGGCCCCTCGGAGGTCCGCCAGGATCTGCTCTGACAGCCGGGCTCCAGTGCGTCCAGGTTCCAGTCCTGCAGGTAGGACAGGCGCCACTGAGCCCCCAGAACATGCCAGTCTGGGGACAGGCTGGGCGGGGGGCCGGCACCACGTCTGCACCCTGACCACTGTGGCCACCACCGCCCGCCCCTGCTAGTCAGCCCAGGCCCGAGTCACATCCCGGGCCCAGTAACCCCACTTCTCTCTCCCCAGCCTGTCTCCCTGCACCTCTGCAAGCTCTTACCTCGGTCAGGACTGGCGCACCAGGTTTGTGGCCCTGCGTCCCCTGCGTCCAGTTGCCCTGACGGTCTGTGCCCAGTTGGGTGGCCGTCTCCCTGCCCTACTGAGGGGTGCAGAGTTGGAGGCTGCCTGGGCTGGCCATGAGGTGCCTGTGGCTGCCGGCCCTCCGGCCACATGCCATTGTACCTGCAGGGCTGGGGGGTCCTTGGGCCACACCAGCCCCCGCCCTAGGATGGCTCGTCATCCAGCAGATGACGCCTTTTGTCTTCCCCCTTTGTGGGGAGAGGGGGCTGGGGACTGAACCAGGGGCCCTCGACCCCTGAGCCCTGTCCCCAGCCCTATTCTGTATTCTATTTAGAGACAGGGTCTCACTGAGCTGCTTAGGACCCCGCTAAGTAGCTGAGGCTGGCCTCCGCCTTGCGATCCTCCTGCCTCAGCCTCCTGAGCTGCTGGGATGACAGGCGTGGGCCACCACATTGGGCTGTTTTTTCCCATTTTTTTTCCTACCCCACTTGAACCCCGGCAGGACAGGCCCAGCCACCCCTCGGGAGCCTAGCAGGGACTTCCAAATGACACCCATCCCTGTGCACCCACAGAGCCGTTACTTCAGCAGGCCTTTGAACACCTGCCCTTCCCGACTCATGTCTGGGGGCTGGGATAGGAGGAAGAGGCTGAGGAGCTGCGGCCCCTGGCTATGGCCCGGCCTGTCCCATGCACCTCTTGACAGGAGCGTCACTGTGGGGCGTAGGTGACCCTAGAGCAGGCACAGACAGGCACCGGGCAGACGCCGCAGGGCAAGTTTGGCAGCAGATTGCTCCTGACACCATAGTGCTGGGCAGGCCCCTGCAGGGTGAGGGTCACTGCTGTGGGGGCGCTAGGCTCCCAAGGGACTGGCCGGGGCTTCGGGGTAACTGGGGGCGGCGGCCGGGCGCAGGGCACACGCCTGCCATCCCAGTGCCTCAGGAGGCTGAGGCAGGAGGATCGCCAGGTGGAGGCCAGCCTCAGCCACTTAGCAAGGCCCTCAGCAACTGAGCGAGACCCTGTCTCTAAATAATACGGAACAGGGCTGGGGACGGGGCTCAGAGGTTTAGGGCCCCTGGGTTCAATCTCCAGGGAAAGATCAGGTGGCAAAGGCAGAGGCCGGGCCTCTAAACTGGGGCGATGGCGGGAAGGCCCTGCTGTGGGCTGTGAGGGGGGAAGCTGGGAGGACCTTTTTGCTTTGTTTCCTTGGTTTTTAAAGGATGCTCCATCAAAGCTCTGAGCCTTGAGGTCAGGGAGACCTGGGTCTGGACCTTCCCTGTCCTTTGTCACCTAGTATAGTCCCAGGCCAGTCCCCAAAGCACGGGGTCCCATTTTGTTGCCTGTACACTGGGAATCAGCACTCGGTGACTGACACACGGGAGGTCCCCGAGGCAGTGGGACGTGGGGGTGGAGCAGGACAGAAGGCCAGTGTTGGGATTGTGGCCGGCCACGGGCTGGGTGCGCACACAAGACAGGTGAAGGGCGCAGTGTCCCCTTCCTGAACTGGACCAGAGTGACCCAGCGGCCTGCTCTCTCGGGCAGCACCTCCCTCTGCTCTGGCCCTTCCATTTCCAGGCCACACAGCGTGTCCCCTCCGTCTGGCCTAAGAAGGTATCAGGACCCACCTCCCGGAGGCAAGCTGGCCTTGGGTCGGAGGGGAGGACTTTGGTCTGCGTGACCTGGGAGTGGAGGAGCCAGGCAGGAGATTCCAGGCCCAGTACAAGTCACTGCTGGGTCCCTGGGCCTCCTGGGGGCAGGCGGGCGGGCTCTCCTGGGCCTCACAGTGAGGGCCTGTGGGAGCTGCTGGACAGACAGCTGACGGGCCCTGCTGGTGGTTACCTCCCCAGGATGATCCCTCGGGTGAACAAGTCCTGCCTCTGGCCCTCAGTCCCCAGCCCTCGGCCTTCTACCCCTGCTTCACCCTGGATTTGCCTGTCTACGTCCTCCAGGTTGGAGTCCTTATTTATTATTATATCTTTATTGTTATTGGGGGTGGGGATTGACCCCAGGGGCCCTCAACCCCCGAGCCCTGTCCCCAGCCCTTTTTATATTTTATTTAGAGACAGGGTCTCTCTGAGTTGCTTAGGGCCTTGCTGAGTGGCTGAGGCTGGCCTCCAACTCTCGATCCTCCTGCCTCAGCCTCCTGCGCCTGGCTATTATTATTCTCTTATTAATTAACACTGTCCTCCAGCTTTGAACTCGCAGGAGCGGTCTCATGGTGCCCAGGAGCTGCTGAGCTGGGCCCGCCATTGACACTGCGGGTGAGCCAGTAACAGGGCGACCCGGAAGCCCAGAGCTGCTGTTCCTTGTCACTCTCCTACAGGCAAGGTGACATTGAATGTACCTGGGAACTATTTTATACTAAACTCCAGTTACTTTCTCCTGAGAGAAGCAAGCCGGCCACTATTTAACCCGGACCCATTCACTAGTCACTTGGGCGAGTGGCTGGGGTCAGGAGCTGTGGGTGACTCGGATCTGGATGTGACACAGTGGAAGACGGTAGCTGGTCAAGTTCCCAACAATCTGGGTTCAATCAGTAAAGCAATTGCAGGAGCCTACAAAGACAGGTGGAGGGGCCACTTCAGGGCACAGCTTGGTAGCATGTCAGAAAACCTCAAAAAGTGTCTATCCGAGCTGCGTGCGGTGACCCACGCCTGTCGTCCCAGCAGCTGGGGAGGCTGAGGCAGGAGGATCGAAAGTTGGAGGCCAGCCTCAGCAACTTAGTGAGGCCCTAAGCAATTCAGTGAGACCCTGTCTCTAAATGAAATGCAAATTAGGTCTGGGGACGGGGCTCAGGGGTTAAGAGCCCCTGGGTTCAATTCCCGGAACCAAAAATAATTCAAATAATGTCTCTCCTGTTCACGAAGCCTATTAGACCGTTCTTAAGGAAGTCAGGTAGTGAGCTGATGATGAGCCCGAGGTATTCCCCGCACCCCCTGATGGTGACACAGTCTGGACGTTTCCTATACAGGGGAGGTGTCTTAGATGGGCACTGGTGCAGCGGGGCCGCTGTCCTGCTCAGCCACTGTTGACATGGACGTCTGCTACCTTGGGAGCAGGGCTGTGTCCCACGGGCGAAGTGGGGAGCGGGTTCCACAGCTAACCCAAGGTGATCTGGTCTTTGTAAGAAGGAGCACAGAGCTCAGATATTAAAGAAGCGGGTTAGTTGGGCAGAGGGTCCCGCACCAGTAATCCCAGCAGCTTGGGAGGCTCAGGCTAGAGGATTGCGAGTTGGAGGTCAGCCTCAGCAACTTAGTGAGAACCTCTCAAAATAAGAGGGGCTGGGCTTGGGCAGAGCCCTCGGTGTGTATGTGAAGCCTGGGTTTGGTGCAAGGAGAGAGCATGTTGTCCTTGAAGGAGAGTCGGGTGCCTTACTGCCTCTGGCTCTCTGGGGGCCTGTACCTTGCTGTGACAGGTGGCTGGGATCTCCCGCCCTGCACTACTATCCCTCTCTACTCACCCTTCCCTTGCCTTGGCAGGAGGTCCCTACGGACCCCCGAGGCACTGCCGGGCCAGCGGCTGCACAGGCACCAGGAAGCACCATCAACCTCAGGGACCTGCAGTGACACCCGCCCTCTGGAGCACGTCCAGGCTGCGCTTCCCCAGGTGACACCGATGACATGGTACCGGGGGCTCAGAGGCCTGCTTGGTGTCCACCCAGAAGCCTCGCCTCGTTCTTCAGAGACTTTGGGTCCATTTATCAAAAACTTTGATTTACATCAGGAACCATCTGGGCCGAACTTTTTGACACTGTCCTGACAGGGAGGCGCCCTCTCGGGCGGTGCCCGGTGTGTGTGGCTGCCGTTCCCAGGTCCCAGTGGATCTCAGTTTGTAATTGTTGCATCAAAAGGAAAAAAAAAAAAAGATCTATATAGGAAGTAGGGCAGAGTCAGGTCCTGCTCCAGGACAGCCCTGTCCCCGGGGCTCTCCCACCACCAGTGTTTTATTTTACATCGTGTGTGCCCAGGAAAGATCTAGAAATCCCATCTTCTGTGACAGGCCACTTCTCAGTGCTTGGGATGGTGGTCACAGTGGGCCCATCTTGCCAATCTTAGCCCCAGGGTGAAGCCAGACCCCAGTCGGTGTTCCAGCAAGACAGACAGACAGCAAGTTTGGGAGGAAGGTGACCAGGGACGCCCTGGGACCTGGGTCCAGCCAATGGGGAGCTGCACATTTGGATGAGAGAGTTAAAAAAAAAAAAAAAAAAAAAAAAACCTTTTCAGATGCCGTCTCTAAGCTCCACGTTTGGGTATTGTTAAATAGTAAGTGACCACGGTGCCTAATGCCATCTCCTGAGTGCTGGGACTAATGTGAGGGACCGTGACAGTGGCACACAGATGGCTCTTACGGTACAGGTGGCCGGTGTACCCACACTGCGCCCACTGCCCTTTCCCCAGGGGGTGTCCCCCGGGAGGAGACATCCATCACTTGGCACACACCAGCTGGTCAGTGCCTGGACACAGGTCCCCCAGAATGCGTCCCTTCCCCCTGGTGCCTTTGAAGTTGACCCCGATGCGGCTGCGGGTCCCACCTAGGCGTCCTGCCACTCTGCGCTCCCTCTGTTCCTGTTTTTCTCTAATTTGGGGACTTTGGCCTCCGGAGGGGGAGGCCAAGTGTGCCGAGCCTCCTCTGTCTGCTGTCCCTCTGGAAAGGAACTGAGGCCATTTGGGAGCCACTCCTCTCCTCAGGTCCCTGTGCTGCTGACAGGCCGCGTTCTGGGGTCATCTGTGCCCACCTGTCCTCCAGGGGCCTCCCGTAATGGGGAGCCCCTCTCGGGTGAGCCCCTGCGTCTCCCACTGGGTGTCACCACAGAGGGGTTAAAACTGGCTGGCGGAGCGCTGGTCACCGAGGCTGCCTGCCTGGCGACCGCCACCTCGGAGTGCAAGTGAATAAAGGTTTTTGTATTGTCGTGCACCAAAGGTCTGTCCCCAGCTTGATTCAGGTCCCCCTTCACCCTCCGGGGCCTTGTCCCCCTGCGCCACCCGGCGGCGGGGCTCCAAGGAGTTGCCAGACTGAAAACCGGGCGGGTCCCCGATGGCGCGCGCTGGGTTCAGTGACAGGGACAGGCCATCAACACCCACAGAAAAACAATACGTGGCTTTATTGGTGCGACCAGGAAGCCGCAGAGTCCGGCCCGCGGACCCCGCGACCTCGGCTCCGCTAAGTGAAGAAGAGGAGCAGCTCCTCCTTCTCCTTGTCCACCAACGGGTGCTCGGGCTCCTCCTTCACCCTGGGGACCGGGGGCCGCGACCGGCACACCAGCTTGCGGCCCCGCTGCGAGGGGGGAGCCCCGTGAGCGCGCCTCTGCCCGGCCGGCCCCGGAGCGCCCCTGACCCACCTGCCTGTCCTGGGCACCTGAGGCCCCCTGCTCCAGCCCGCCCCGCCCTGGGCACGGGAGGCCCCGCCCACCCCGTCCGCTCCGCCCACCCCGTCCCATCGCAATGGGCATCGAAGGCCCCGCCCACCCACATCTGCCCCGCCTTGGGCGCGGGAGACCCCGCCTACCCCCGTCCGCTCCGCCCACCCCGTCCTCACCCTGGGCACCAGAGGCCCCGCCCACCCACGTGCGCCCCGCCCACCCACGTCTGCCCCGCCTTGGGCACGGGAGGCCCCGCCCCTGCCCACTGCTGGGCCTGGCGACGGCTCCCCACGGCTCAGGACCCGCGGGTGGCTGCCCTGGGAGCTCAGTGGGGTGCGCGCCTGCGCGGAGCGGGAGGCAGGGGCTGCGGGCCAGTCTGCACCCAGGACTGTGTGTCCAGGAAGGAGCCCCCACCGGGACCTCAGAAGGGCAGCCCGGGGAGGGGGCAGCCTCCGAGGTGACGCCTGGCCGCAGAGGCTCCGTCCCGCCTGCCTGGCGGCCACCAGCAGCAGCCCGCCCTCCGAGGCCCCAGCAGCAGGCACGAACAGGCTCTCCCTGGGCTCGCCGCGGCCCGCCGCCTACCTTCCTCTTGACCGCCGCCTGGGCCCGGGCCCGAGCCCGCTGCAGACGCTCCTCCTGCAGCATCCTCTGCATCATGGCCTTCTCCTCCCGGAGCCTGCAAACGGGCGACGGCAGGGCCAGCGGTGGCCGGAGGCCCCAGCTCCGCAGCGCCCCTCCGCCCGGCCTCGGGCCAGGCCACGCCCACCCAGATCGCCCAGCGCCGGGTGGGCGTGGCCGGGGCGGTCAGAGCTTCAGAGCGGACACCTGCCTGCGGCCCTGGAGCCACATCTGCGTGCCCGTGGGGCAGTGCTGGCTGCTGTCACCAAACCTTTGCCCGCCACCCCCTCTAAGCTGGGTGCTGGAGACCGGGAGGGGAAGCCCCCTTGCTTGTGGGAGGCAGGTGGGCGCTGAAGGAGGACCGTCCTGGGGACCGGCATGAGGTGGACGATGACCCGGGCAGTGAACGGGCCAGATGGCCCTGGTGGCTTCTCATCTCACCTGGTCCCCAGGGAGCCTGTCACACGCTCTCGGGCAGCGTCGTCAGAGAGCTGGCCCCGCCCACCCTGCCGCCCGGCCTGAACTGGGTCCCCAGGTGCCCACCTGCCGCCCCTCCCACCCACCCCCGGGAAAGAGTCCAGCCAAATCCTGCCCTCCGCGTCTGTCCCTGCCTGGGACCCTTCCCTGACGCCCCTGTGTCCCCGAGGGCCACACCCTCCACCTTCCCCTCTTCTCGACAGGTCCTTCCCGCAGTCCCCTGGCCCCTGGCGCTCCTCCCCGCCCGCCCTCCCGATGGCCGCAGTCCCCTGACCCCTGTCGTTCCTCTCACCTCCGGTGGCGCTCCTTCTCCTGGGCCTTCTCGATCTGCTGCACCCAGGAGGCCGGCATGCGCTCCAGGCTCTCCAGCAGCTCCTCCAGCTGGTGCTCGATGGTGGTGAGCATCTGCACGGTGCCCAGGTTCGCCTCCTGCGGGCCGCCCACGCAGCGCCTGTACACGTCCAGCACCTTGTGGTCCAGGCTCTCCAGCAGCTTGTCCTGCGGGAGGGGACGCTGCCAGGGCCTGCGGCCACCCGGCTCACAGTGGCCTCGCCCGGGCCAGCGGCCACCGTGGGTGTCCAGGAAACAGGTGGCACACTTGGGGGGACTGGCCTTTCACAGCCAGAGCAGCCCAACCCCCCTGGTCCCCTCAGGGCAGCCACCGGGGCCCCACCCTGCATCTCAGCCCTTCCCCCAGCTGCCTAGGCCAGGCCCCAAAGCCCGGTGGCCCGTCAAGGGACCCCTGCGCTAAGCCCAGCTCGTCCCAGAACCAGGGACAGGAAGGCTCAGCCAGTTCCCAGTGACACCTGCTGGGGCAGGGGGCTGCCATCCTGCTCACAGCGGCTTCCTGTGCGCCTGGCCCTGGGCCCGGTGCCCGGGAGGCCCTTGGCAGCCTTTCTAGCGACTGAGGTCCCTGGTGTCCCATCACTCTGGGAATGAGCTGAGCCCTGCGGACCCCAGTTCCTGTGGCCCAGAGCATCAGTGGCCTCTTGTTCTCTCAGATTTCTCCCCTCAGGGCCCAGCCGGAGGACACGCCCCCGTCCACGCCCCGTCCACGCCCCCGTCCACGCCCCCGTCCACGCCCCCGTCCGCCGGTGGATCTACTTAAGCAGACAGATGCGTGTGATGCAAAAGGAGGGCCCTTGGGGACCTGGGGACCTGGGGGCCTGGGGCGGCCATCTGCAGGACCATTCCCGGGTGAGGCCCAGGAGCCAGAACGCTGAGTCTGGACTTTGCTCTGGGGCCCGAGGCCACCGAGCTGCCCACCTGCTGGTCGCCCATGTATTCCCCAAAGTGGAAGACGCGGGCCTTGAGCTCCAGCTCAGAAGCCATCTCTTCTTCCTTGGCAATGGACATGGTCATCGTGGTCACCCACTGCTTCAGCTGCTGGACCTCCCTGTCCCTGCATGGGGGTGGGGGGGACACGGCCTCTAAACCAATCGACCCTCTGCTTCAGGACGGGGAGTCTCAAAGGCTAGAGGGAGGGATGCAGAAGGTGAGACTCCAAAAAACCAAATTTTGGTGGGGGGGGGGCACCAGGGGTTGATCCAGAGGCGGTGACCCACTGACCCCGTCCCCAGCCCTTTTACTTTTTATTTAGAGACAGGGTCTCGCTGAGTGGCTTAGGGCTTTGCTTATTGTTGAGGCTGGCCTCCAACTCGTGATCCTCCTGCCTCAGCCTCCCTAGCTGCTGGAATGAACAGGCGTGGGCCACTGCGTCCGGCTCCCTCAAGGTCTTTCGGGGCCTCCTGGTCGTGATCGATGAGCCCACTACCTCACTCCTCCAAGAAGCCCTTGCTGGCCCCCAGCCATCCCGCCTGGCCCCAGCCTGGGGGACACCACAGTAGCTCCTGCCCCTGCTGAGCAGCTGGCTCTCAGCAACAGCAGGACGACACCCTGCACAGGGACCCAAGGGTGTGCGGTGGGCAGCCAGACCTCCCTCTGTGGCCCCCAGCCCCGGGCCCCGCCCACCCACTCTGCAGCAAAGGGGGGCGGGGGAGGGGGACGCACATGCGCACATGCGTGCTCTTCAGGGTGAGGTTCAGCTCCTCCAGCGTCTCCTCCATCTCCTGGGTGTTCTGGATCAGAGACAGGTTCTGCTCCTCCAGGTCCGTGAAGATGTCCAGCAGCTGCTGCGGCTCCGTGAAGAACAGCACCTGTTCCTGCAAGGATGGCGTCCGGCAGGGGCCACAGGGGACCCTGGGGCAGGAGGGGCAGCTGCCTGGGCCCACGGGGGGGGGGGAGGGGGGTGCAGGGCTGAGGGAGGGGAAGGCAGAGCCAGGTCACCAACCTCCTCATCGCTGTCCGAGTCCTCCGGCATGGGGTCAGAGCTGGGCCTGCGAAGAGGTGCTGGGGTCCGTCAGGGCTTGGAGGGGGACCAGCCTAGGTGGCCCTATGGGTGGAGCATCCTGCCCCTTTTATGGCCTTGCAGTCGGGGGACACTTTCAAAATCCCATCAGCAACTCTCTCTCCAGGTAGCATGAACCTCTCTCCAAGTTCATGGCTGCTTCACTGCCCTGTCCACGCCTACCTCAGGGCCTTTGCACCTGCCTCTCCCCCTTGCCATTCATTTCCCGAGGACCCCCCCTCCTCTAAGGCTTGTCCGCATTCGGAGGTGTAGCTCGGCCAGCCACCAGCTCACTCTGCACCCAGAACATATAAAGCACTAACAGAGCTCCGTAAGAAAAAGGTATATCAAGGGACAGAAGTCGGCCGGCCAGCGGTGGCGCTCGCCGGTCATCCCTGTGACTCGGGAGGCTGAGGCAGGAGGATCGCAGGTAAGCTGGAGGCCAGCCTCAGCAGTACCGAGACCCTGTCCCTCCAATGTGAGAAAGCATTTCTCAGTGGCTCCTGTCCTCTGGGCCCTGCCACAGTTGCAGGGGAGTGGGCAGGTCCCCTGCAAGGCCCCCTCGCCCCCCGTCCTGTCCCCCTCACCTCCCAGGGTCCAGCTGACTGGGTGGCAATGGCTGGAGGCTGCTGCTGCTACTAGACAGAGCCTGTCCACCCCATGTGGCCTGCAGAAGCTTCAGGGGCTTCTTCACGATGTGAGGCTCTGGGGGACAGAGCAGTGGTCACCTAAGTGTCCTGGTCTCAGGACCAGGAGCCCCTCCCGCCCGGGGTGACCACGTACCTCTGCCCAACAAAGAGGCCATCTTGCTCTTGACCCCGGGTCCTTAGGGAACAAAGGAAGAGATCCCAGATGGCAGGGGCTGAGCCAAGCTTCTGGTGAGTGGGCGGCTGTGAGTGTCCAGGACCCACAGGAGAGACCTCACCCACGGGGCCACACCCCAGCCCCTGTAATATTTTACTTAGAGGCAGGGTCTCACTAAGTGGCTGAGGCTGGCCTCCAACTCACGGTCCTCCTGCCTCAGCCTCCCCAGCTGCTGGGAGGACAGATGTGCATGGCTCAAGGCCCCTGTTTGAGAGTCACAACCCTCGGTGCAGATGTTGGGCTGAGCCACACGCCGGGCTCAGGGGGTGTGAGTCCAGCTGGGGACGTGAAGGTCGCCAAGGAGCCCGCCGCGTAAGGCCTGAGTGCTGACAAGGGCCTGTCCCCTGGGCACAGGGCCTGGGCCGACAGCAGAGCTCCCCCTGGGACCCACATTCTCTGTTCCACTACCTTTGTCCCCTGGTGCCGGGATCCCACCGCCCTTCGCGGGGGCCTGGGCCACCTCCTTGGCCTTCCTCAGGGCCAACCGCCGCCTCTCCTGTCCCTCCAGCCACTCCTTGGGTGACACCTTGTACAGGAAGTCCTTGTACATCTTGTACTGCTGCAGGGTGTCCTCGAACCTGGCGATCTCGCTAAGCCGGGGAAGGGAGGTCAGTCCCCCTGTCCCTGTCCCCGACCCCGTCCCCTCGGAGACCCTCTGGCTGGCCCCCCCATCCCACCGCGGCCAGCGCTGGCTGGAGAGGACGCCCACCCTGCAGGGGGTCAGGGGTGGCCAGGTGGCCCTCGGGGACACGCTGGCCCCTGTCCACCCTGGGAACCTGTTGCTCTCTATAGCGGGGACCCGAGGCGAGAGGGCGGGTGCACAAGGAAAGGCCGGGCCTCCACCTCAGCCTCCCGAGAGGCTCCAAGTCACTCCCTGAAGTTGGGCCCAGGTGACCAAAGGGACCAGGGCCGTCCACGGGCCAGCGCGGCCTCTGGCCTCACCTCTTGACGTGCATGATCTGGATGGTGAGCTCCCGGATCTCCGCCATCTTATCCATCTTGGCTTTGGTCTCCTTCTCAGCCCTGGGAGAGGCAGGGAGGCCAGGAGGCCGGTCACCGATTGAGGCTAAAGAAGGAGCCAGCACCTTGGGCTGAGAGCCCAGGGCCAGGGCAGCCCTAGGGACTGGCCAGGGGCCTGGGGAGAGCCCAGGGTGGTCAGGGTCATGGCTTGGCAAGAGGGGAGGCTGGGGGTGTCCAGCTGAGGTTGGGTGGAGGCCCTGGGTGGAGGCCCTGGGTGGAGACGTAGGAGGGAGGACGTGGGGACGGTGTCAGGCATCCCCTGGACTCACAGTCTCATGGCCTGGACGGAGTTGGCGTCGTCGTCTCTGAGGAACTCGTCAAAGAGCATGGCGTCCTTCTCCAATGACTTCTGGGCCTCCTTCAGCCGGGCCTCTTCCTCGGAGGCCAGGGACTCCAGCCTTCTGATCTCACTCCGCTTCATCTCCACGGCGTACTGGGGGCCGGCAGGACAAGGTCACAGCGCCCACCTGTGCCCTGGCCCCAAGCTGGACATGGCCTCCCGGGCAGGTGCCGGGAGGGGACCTACCTGGATCAGGAACATCTTCCGCTTCTGGTCGATGTAGCTGCTCAGGGTGTCAGGCTCCATTTTCTTTTCTGGAATGACAAGGCCCCAGCCAGCGCTGGGGACAGGAGCTCAGAACCTTAGGGGCCGTGACCTCCCGCTCCCAGGACCCAAAGGGATGGGATTCACCCGGGCAGGGGGAGTGCTCTGTTGTCCCCTACCACCAGCAAAGGGACAGCATGCCCCGCCCCCAGGACACACCCAGCCCTTCCTAGGGGTCCGCACCCTCGGGGACAACCCAGCATGACTATTCAGACATCCAAAAGTCAGGAAAAAAAAAACAGAAAAATCACTGCAAATGCAAATTGGCCACCTCAAGGTGACTTAAGCAATAAGAGGTGCACAGGTGACATGCCACCTTGTAGAAGGGACTCGAGCAACGGTAGGTTTGGGTATCTGTTGTGAGTGGGATGTGAGGTGTCCCCAGAGGCGCCATCATCACCGTGAGCCACGCACAGGGACGCACGCCTGACATCCCCGCAGCTCCAGAGGCTGAGGCAGGAGGATCGCAAGTTGGAGGCCAGCCTCAGCCACTTGGCTCTAAGCAAATTAGTGAGGCCCTATCTGTTGTGCTGTGGCTGTGAGTGTCCCCAGAGCCGCCGTGGGAGGTGACACAGGAAGGTTCAGAGGAGGAGTGAGGGGTGTGAGGCCTGAACCCCGGCACTGAATGGCTCCCTGGGGTCCCCTGGTGGCCCCTGGTGGCAGGTGGGGTGTGGGGAGGAGGTGACCCTGGGGCTGTGGCTTGGGGTCTCTATTTGTCCCTGGAGAGTGGAATCTCTGCTTCCTGGTCCCCATGGGAGCTGCTCCCTCCCCACACTCTTCCTCCATGACGTCCTGCCTCCCCTCGGCCCAGGAGTGGAGCCTCCATCTGTGGACCGCGACCTCTGACCCTGAACCCCCAAAGCTGTCTACAAGTAGGGTTGGGTATCCAAGGGGGCCCGGAACCACCCCCCCCAGCAGATACGAAGGGAGGCCTGTGTTCCATTCTCCAGGGTTGGGGTGGGCCAGGCGGAAGTCATGCCTGTGTCTAACTTGGGTCTCTCTTGCTGTGGTGCCCTTCTCCCTTGGAACGAGGCTCTACTCAGCCCCACTGTGAGAATTTCAGTAACAACCAGCTGGGATCTGAATGGGGCCAGAAGGAGCAAGGGCCCTGGGGTCTTCACTCCAACACCCTGACCCTGTCCCCGGGCCTCAGAAAGAAGAAGGCATTCCCCAGGAGCTAGGAAAGGTCCCTTCCCCAAAACTGTCCCCTCTGGCCTTGTCCCTCAGACCCTGTCCCTTCCACAGGGGTGTGACTGACACAGCAGGCAGGGCACAGGACTCAGGGACGCTTAGCCACCGAGCCACATCCCAGCCCCCGTTTTAATATTTGATTTTGAGACGGGGTCTCGCTGAGCTGCTCAGGGCCTGGCTAAGTGTCTGGGCCTCCTTGAAGCAGTGCTACTGGCCCCTCAAGGAGACCCAGCTCCCTCCTGGGCCATCAAGGTCAGGGGACTGACAAGCCTGGGGCCCAAAGCTCTAGGTCCTGTCCCTTCCCCACCAGCAGGACAAGACACCCTCCGCCTCTCCCAGGCCCTGGGGGTTGGACAGCAGAGGCAGAAACGGGTCCCACTGACCCCTGCTTTGGGGGTGGACGATAGCACTTCTGAGCAAACCCGTTCCTCCCCAAATAACCCCCAGGTCTAAAGTGGAGGGCGTGGGGGGTCCTGGAGCCCCCCACTGTGTCCCAGGGCTCTCATCTCAACGGGTTGGGGATGCAGCTCAGTGGTAGAGCCCCCCCTGGGTTCAATCACTTGCACAAAATAGGAAGTAATTAAAGCCGGGCCCCCGTGGCGCACACCTGTCCTCCCAGCACCTGGGGAGGCTGAGGCAGGAGGATCGCAAGTTGGAGGCCAGCCTCAGCCACTTAGAGAAGAGGCCCTGAGCAACTTCATGAGACCCGGTTCTCAAAATAAAATATATATTTTTTTTAAAAAGGGGATGTGGCTCAGTGGTAAATCACCCCCAGGTTCAATCCCTGGTGCCAATAAATATAAATAATTTTTTTAAAAAATGCTCTAGGGTTTACACCCCTTCTGGACTGGGAGGCCGGAGACGGAGTCTCGGACAAAGCGGCCTCTCAAAGCCCTGGAAAGCGCACCCACGGTGCCTGGTGGCCAGCCTGGGGAGCGGGCCCTACAGAGATTGGGGCTTCCTTGGGGGCGGGTGGCACCTCTGGTCATGGCCAGTTTCCAGGCCGCTTCTTGCTGGAAGGCTCGCATCTGCTCCTCCTCTGCCTGTAACTCCCTGTCCTCCGCCTCCTCCTCCAGCTGCAGCTCGCGACGCAGGTGGCTCTGCTTGGTGGACACCTTGGAGGAGACGGTCGTCTTCTGGTGGACCTGCAGGGCCTTCCTCTGCTCCCGCTCCTGGGGACGTGGGTTGCATCAGTCACATTTAACTGAGGGCCTCATGTTTTGAGGTGCTGAGTATCACAGTCGCATTTAACTGAGGGCCTCATGTTTTGAGGTGCTGAGTATCACAGTTGCATTTAACTGAGGGCCTCATGTTTGGAGGTGCTGAGTATCACAGTCGCATTTAACGGAGGGCCCCATGTTTGGAGGTGCTGAGTATCACAGTCTCACTTAACTGAGGGCCTCATGTTTTGAGGTGCTGAGTATCACAGTCTCACTTAACTGAGGGCCTCATGTTTTGAGGTGCTGAGTATCACAGTCGCATTTAACTGAGGGCCTCATGTCTTGAGGTGCTAAATATGACAGACAGGTCCGGGGAATTTAGAACCTTCTGGGTTTCCAAAAGAACCTCGGAATCCAGAGTGGGATGGGCAGGGTATTGTTGGTATTGGTCGGCTGGAAGGTCACTTGGTGGTCTGTTGTCCCTACTCATGGGCCACCTTGTCCTCCACCCTCTGTGTCCCCCACCCACCCACCGGATGCCATCCTGACCCAACCCTCCCTCAGAGGAGATTCCAGGATGGGAGGCAGGGAAAGCACCAGATCTCTGGCCAAGATCACCACTGACTCTTGCTGTCCTTGTCCTGTGGGTCCTGCACAGACCCTGCCAGGTCCTCACCCACCCGCCTGCCCCTTTCACCGAAGTCATTTGGACACTCTGGGGTGGCTTGACTTCCTGCCAGGACCTGCCAGCTGCCTCAAAGAATTCAATATCTAAGAATCTTGCATGAGTTCAGGACCCAGCCGATGGCTTCATAAGAGGGGCCCAAGGAAACTGTGAGCCATTGACTGTTCTAGAGAACTTGATCTGAGGAAATTGCTCTTCTGAGAAGGAAAGTGGTGTTTGCTGCTGGTCTGAGAGAAGGAAGCCCCCAGGGGGGAAGGGAGGTCACCGAGGGGCTGGCCCCTCGCCAGGGTACTCACCAAAATAGCCTTATTGAGCTCCTGGTCCCTGAACAGGAAGAAGTCCATGTCCCCAGACATGTGGAAAGGATTGGCGGAGGGATTGGAAACCTTCGCAGGCTCTGGGGAGGGAGACACCTTGTTGGACAGAGGAGCCAGCTCTTTCTTGCAGTGGCTTGTGTCCCTGGGGTCTGGGTGTCCCCCCAGCCCAGCAGGCAAGAGAAAACAGGGGTGAGCGTCCACCCGACGTCACCACCCGCTGAGTCACCTTTGTCCTTCTTGGTCGGCTTCTCGGGATGGTCCTCAATGATGGAAGACAGACTCTTGTTCATGGTCTGCAAGCTCTTCCCTGGGGACATATAAGAGTGACAGCCAGGACACTGAGTGACTCTGAGCACTGAGCAAGGAGGGGGAAGACACCATCTGTGCAGGGGGCCTCTCTGAGCCTTGGTTTCTTTTTCTTTCTTTCTTTTCTTTTGGGTACCAGGATTGAACTCAGGGGCTCTCCACCCCTGAGCCCTGTCCCCAGCCCCCCTTTTTTGTATTTTATTTAGGGACAGGGTCTCCCTGAGTGGCTTAGGGCGTCACTAAATTGTTGAGGCTGGCCTCCAACTTGGGATCCTCCTGCCTCAGCCTCTCAAGCCACGGGGATTATAGGCATGGGCCACCGCACCGCCCAGCTGCTGCTGTCCTTATAAAAGGGACATTTGGAAGCAGGCGCACACACAGGCAGAATTCCTCGGGGACATGCAAACAAAGACACCAAAGTTTGCTGGTGACCCCAGAAGCCAGGAGAAAGATGTGGTGCGCACACCCCTCGGGGTTCTCAGAGAGAATCCGACCGTCCACACCTCGGGTTCTTGTGCCTCCAACCCTCCAGAACCCGGTCAGCTGTGGTCCCGGTCACGGGCCCAGTAAGAAACTGGTCCACGGGGTTCGCGGTCAGGGACTTGGCGCCTCGTGGCTGGGTCTAGAGTCCCCTCCACCACCCTGGGCGAGGTCTCCACCTTGGGACCCCAGGCTCCCAGTGTCTGGGGCCCCAAGGGCACCCGGCCCAGCCCAGGACTTACTATTGTGGGCCAGGTTGTTGAAGACCAGGGAAGACAGCATCTTAGACATCCCAGCCGAGGACTAACGGGACAATGCGCAGGCTGACCTTGGCCGAGAACGATTCTCACCTGGGGAAGAGAAACAGCGCATGCGTCAGGTGTCCCGTGCCACAGCCCCCCGCCCCCGCTTCTGGGAGGGGGGCTGGCGCGAGGACTTGTCCTTCACGAGGGTCATGGAGAGACTCCCTCTGTGGGTTTAGTGGCCTTGATCTTTCTGTTCTTTGACGAGATTAACTCTGTCTGCCCCAGGACCTTTGCACTCGCAAAGCCTCCACAGTAAAAAAGAAAAGAAAAAGAAAAAAGAAATTGTCCCTCATCCCGCTGGGACCAGGGGGGGCTTCTTTCCCTTCAAAACCAGCTCAAACACCACCCTTCAGAGACATCTTCCCTGAAGGACATCCTCTTAGATCCGAATTTTGTTTTCTTCTCTGCAATTCCCACTACAAGGCGATTGTTGGAAAAAAAAAAAAAAGTTGACTGCTAGGCTGGTGGCACCCACATGTCATCGCAGCAGCTTGGGAGGCTGAAGCAGGAGGATGGCGAGTTCAAAGCCAGCCTCAGCCACTTAGTGAGGCCCAAAGCAACTCAGTGAGACCCTGTCTCTAAATAAAAAATAAAAAGGGCTGGGTCAGGGCTCAGGGGTCAAGCACCCTTGGGTTCAATCCCCAGTGAGAGAGAGAGAGAGAGAGAGAGAGAGAGGTGGGGGAGGTTTATTAGCAGACACAGCAATGCATACCTGTAATCCCAAGCAGTTTGGGAGGCTGAGGCAGGAGGATTGCAAGGTGAGGCCAGCCTGTGCAATTTGGCAAGACCCCATCCCCCCAAAATAACAGTGGAAAAGCGCCCTGGGCTCCTCCTCCCCCGAATCCGCAAACAAAGCCCAGCCGTCGGTGTCCCCGGGGTGGGAACTCGGGAGAACAGGGTCTTCCCGGGAACAAAGCTCGCGGGACAGGTCCTCGGCCTCCCCAAACTGCTGGGTGCATTTTCGAGGCGCCCCCAGAGATCCCGGGGCGCCAAGGACACAGGTGGGCAGCGGTTCCTCCCGGGAAACTGGAGGCGGGCTGGTGAGGCCGGCGTCCTAAGGTGCCCTCGCTAGGTCGCTGCCTTGCAAAGCTGCACAGGGACATCGTGGGGACAGGGATGGAGAGATGTACGGGGACCCAGCAGAGCAGGGATGAGAGGGCAAAGAAAGGCGTGAGGCTTTGCAGGGGGACCTCGCAGGGGGACTTTGCAGGGGACCTTGGGGGGGTGGGTCTCACAGGGGGATCTCACTGGGGGACCTTAGGGGGGGCCTTGCAGGGGGACCTTACAGGGGGACTTTGCAGGGGGACCTTGCAGGGAGACTTTCCAAGGGGACCTTGCAGGGAGACTTTGCAGGGGGACCTTGCAGGGAGGGACCTATCAGGGGGACCTCGCAGGGGAACCTCACCCCCACCAGCGCTCGCTGGCTCCGAAGCCGGAAGCCCGGCGCCGCGGTTCTCTGCAGCGTTGCAGCCGGCGCTCGGCGTTCCCCGTCGCCATGGCGACCGTTCTCCACGCCCACTGTGACGTCACAGAGGCCGGAGCGGGTGGGCGGGGGCAGCGCCGAGTCCGCAGCCTGCGCTTCCTCCCGGGCTCCCTGCGCTGAGGCTGAGGCTGAGGCTGAGGCCGGGCGGGGACCGGGCGACGGTGACGCGAGCGTCCTCCTTGTCACCCCTCCCCTCTGCGCTTCCTCAGAGCGCTTTTTCTTCTTTCGTCCTGGAGCAAAAATAGACCTGGTCCCCTCCCGCCGGAGGCGGCTGCACTTTCTAGAAGGGCCTTTGACAAAGGGCAGCTGGTGGGCTGCGTCCGATGGCGCGCGCCTGCCATCCCAGTGGCTCTGGAGGCTGAGACAGGAGGATCGCAGGGTGGAGGCCAGCCTCGGCAACTGAACGAGGCCCTAAGCAACTCAGCAAGACCGTCTCTAAATGAAATACAAAACAGGGCTGGGGACGGGGCTCCGTGGCTGGGTGCCCCTGGTTTGTGTGCCCTGGGGAGGGAGGGAAGGGAGGGAGGGAGGGAGGGAGGGAGGGAGGGAACGAAACCGTCTAGAAAATGTGGCCTGATTTGGAAATTCCATTCTGAGCCTCAGATCACTTACGGATTAAAGCCTTATTTTTATTGGCACCAGGAATTGAACCCAGGGCCCTGAACCACTGAGCCCCGTCCCCAGCCCTTTTCGTATTTTATTTAGAGACAGGGTCTATGCTAAGTTGCTGAGGCTGGCCTCTAACTTGAGATCCTCCTGCCTCAGCCTCCTGAGGCACTGAGATTACAGGTGTGAACCATTGTGCCTGGCTAAAAGCCTGTTTTTTTAAAAAAAAAAAAATAAGATGGATTGATGGAGACGTGCAGGGACAGATCCGGAGAAGGCAGGAATGAGGTGGGGCAAGAACACCAGCGGGGTGACCACAGAGCGCATGCCCAAGGCATGTGGGTTACTACAAAATTCTTTGCTCGTTTTGGATGCTTGAAGTTCGAGAATCTTTCATAATAAAATGTTTTGGGAAACGTTAACAATTATTCTAAAGGGTGTTCTGGTCTGTGTAAGGGGTTTTGTTTGGGATTGGGGTCATCAGAGACAGGTCTGGCTGTGAGTGTCCCCAGAGCCCCCGTGGGAGGTGACACAGGAAGGTCCAGAGGAGGAGTGAGGGGGTGTGAGGCCAAAACTCTGGCAGTGAATGGCTCCCTGGGGGGTCCCCTGGTGGCCCCTGGAGGCAGGTGGGGTATGGGGAGGAGGTGGCCCTGGGGCCGTGGCTTGGGGTCTCTCTTTGTCCCTGGAGAGTGGAGTCTCTGCCCCCTGGTCCCCATGGGAGCTGCTCCCTCCCCACACTCTTCCTCCATGATGTCCTGCCTCCCCTCGGCCAGGATTGGAGCCGCCATCTGTGGACTGGGACCTCGGACACCCCTGTCTCCCTCTACAGTTGTGCTGGTGGGTCCTTGAGTCACAGCAACAAAAAACCTGTCAAATACAAGCGGGAAAGGTGTTAATTTTTTTTTCATTTGTAGGTGGACAGCATACTTTTATTTTATTTACTTATTTTTATGTGGTGCTGAGGACGGGACCTAGGGCCTCCCACACACTAGGCAGGTGCTCTGCTGCAGAGCCTAGCCCCAGCGCATTTTTATTTTATTTTTTGGCACCGGGATTGTGGTGGATGGACGGATGGTTGGTACTGTGGATTAGGTGCTGCAGCGTGTCCAGTATGGTGTAGGGGTAGGTAAAAGGCGGGTGCTGGGGGCGGTGGCGCACAGCTGTCCTCCCAGAGGCTTGGGAGGCTGAGGCAGGAAGATCGCCAATTGGAGGCCAGCCTCAGCCAACTTAGCAAGGCTCTAAGCAACTCAGGGAGAGCCTGTCTCTAAATAAAATATAAAAAGGACTGGGGATGGGGCTCTGTGGTGAAGCACCCCTGGGTTCCATCCCTGGTACCGCAACACCCCGAAAAAAACTCAGGACACTCAGCGGAGTGGGTACCCGGGGTGTGCAATGCCTAAACTGGCCACGGGGCGGCGCCCTGCACCAGCTCCTCGCGGGGCCCTGGTGGCACCGCCGGTTCTCCCAGGACTTGCAAAAGAGGAACCTTTTGTCCCCTCCGCGGTGAAAGGTTCCCGGTGACGCAGATTGTAAACAAGTTGAAAGACGCTCCACAGCGGATCCACGCAAACAGCGCTGTGGCGACCTTGGCTTTGCCTGCCAGGGGGCCGCTGTCCCCTCAGTCCCCAGATCTCGGGTCCCTGGGGCGGGTGCACGGAGCAAGTGGTGGCTGCCGTCTTGAGGTCCCTGTCTGCAGGGCTGCTATGGGGACAGCAGCGACCGCCCCCCCTCCCCCAGAGCGCCTTCCTGGATCGCTGAAGGCACTAGCAGAGAGATGCGGGAAGGTCCCACAGCTGGGGGGTCCCTCGGCCCAAATTCCAACACCCTCGTCCTTGCACCCCGCGCCCGATGGCAAACCTCCCCCGACCTTAAGCCAGCTCAGGACATCAGCAGTTAGGAGGCCGAGGCCGGAGGATTGCAAATTGGAGGCCAGCCTCAGCAAAAACTGAAGCCTAAGCAACTCAGTGAGACCCTGTCTCTTAAGTAAAATATAAACTAGGGCTGGGGACAGAGCTCAGGGGTCAAATGCCCCTGAGTTCAACCCCCCGGTATTTATTTCCCATGAAGGGGAAATAAAAACTTTCCAAGATAAGCAGAAATTTTAAAAAATTCCTCATTACTAAGCTGGCGCTTCATAACTTATTAAAGAAATGCTGCACACAGAAGAAATGTTTTAAAATCCCAAAGCTCCCAAATGCTCACATCTCATCTGGAGAGTAGCTTAAGCAAATGAGAAACAGGATCCAACTAAGCATTAGAAATAAATTAAAATGTCAGGAATTCATAAACATCCCACTCTGGTAACATTGAACATAAATGATCTCAACCCTCCAATTCAAAGACATGAGTTAGCGGAACTAAAACTCAAGTCCCAGCTCCATGTGGTGGGCAAGACACCGCCATAGGCAAAGGACATGGAAGGATGGACATTGATACACCACGGGAACGGAGCCCCCAAACAAGCTGGGGCAGCTGATCTCCTGTGTCGCAAAGCCGACCTCAGGGCAGAATTCATGAGAAGAGACCAAGCCGCCATCCAACAAGAAGATACAGCAATATTCATGGCACCAATGTGAGAGCGACTGATTCCATAAAATGGACACTACTAAAAGCCTTGGAGAGACCCCCGTCCAACAATAACGGGGTGATTTCAACACACCTCACTCACAGATAGATCAATCATCCTGATGTCCGTGCAGCAAAGACTCTCTGTACCTGAAAAATACAAGTCATGGACCTTTATTTATTTATATGCAGTGGTGAGAATCGAACCCAGGGCCTCACATATGCTAGGCAAGTGCTCTGTACCCCTGAGCCCCAGCCCCAGCCCAGAAAATGTAGTTTTGAAGATGAGCTTGGAGATTGAAGAAATCAGGAGAGAAATAATAATTTTAAAAAAATCCTTAGAATCCAATGAGAATAGTGATACAACTTCTCAGAACCTCTGGGAGTGGGACACTGTAAAGGCCGTTCTAAGAGGAAGGTTCATAGCTATGAGTGGTTGTCTGAGAAAATCAGAAAGACCCCAAATAAATACCTAATAATGAGAAAAACGAGACATCACCACAGACATTACAGAGAGAAAATGAGACATCACCACAGACATTACAGCATCACACAGGACCATCAGGGAGTGGTTTTTAAAACGTCTCCAATAAATTAGAAAATCTACAAGAAAATGGATATATTTCTAGACACACATGACCTGCCAACATTGGACGAAGAAGATATAGAAAACCTAAACAGACCAATAACAGCAATTGAGATAGAAAAAGTGATTAAAAAGCCACTTAACAGCCAGATGCAGGGCACATGCCTGTCATCCCAGAGGCTCAGGAGGCTGAGGCAGGAGGATGACAAGTTGGAGGCCAGCCTCAGCAACTTGGTGAGGCCCTAAGCAACTCAGGGAGACCCTGTCTCTAAATAAAATATAAAAAGGGCTGGGGATGGGGCTCAGGGTTCAATCCTGAGCCCAATAGGGTTCAATAGGGTTAGGGTTAGGGTTTGGATTATTGCTAGGGTTCAATCCCTGATACCAACCAACCAACAACAAACAAAAGTTATTAAACAAAGAAAAGCCTGGGACCAGACATATTCTCAGCTGAATTGTACCAAACCTTTAAAGAAGATCTAATGCCAATGCTCCTCAAATGTATTCCATAAAATACAAAGGGATGGAACCTGTCCAAATCCATTGTCTGAGGTCAACCTCACACTCATACCAAAACCAGAGAAGGACACATCTCGAGACAAGAAAACTACAGACCAATATCCCTGGTGAACCGAGATGCAAAAATACTTAATAAAATATCCGCCAATCACATTTAGCAACCGAGATGGACCATCATGGCCGCATTGGCTTTATACCAGGAATGCAAGGATGGTTCGACTTCCCCGAGTCAATTACTGTAACCCAGCACAGAGGCAGAATTAATGACAAATGTCACGTAGGCATCTCGGTGGGTGCAGAGAAGGCCGTTGACCCAACCCAGTGCCCCATTTAGGATAAAACACTGAGGAAACCCTCCTCAAGACAGGGCAATTAGGAAAGAGAAGGAAAGAAAGTGGATAAAAATAGGAAAGAAAGAACTCAAATTGTCGCCATTTGCAGATGGAAGAGGGAGACCAGACCCTTCTCTCTCACCCTGCACAAAAGCCAACGTGAAATGGATCCAAGCCCTCGGAATTAGGTCAGGAACCAGACCTGGAAGGAAATATGGGGTCAACCCTCCAGCACCGAGGCACCATTGGTGACGTTCTCAACAGGACCCCCTAAGTCCCAGGAAATATAAATGTGGTGGCATCAAATCGAAACCCTTCTGCGCAGCAAAGGGATCAGTGTGAAGAGACAGCCTGCAGGATGGGAGGAAATCCTTGCTACCTGGCCTCATCCATAGAATACACAAAGGGCTCACAAAACTATTCCCCAAAACTCAAATACCCCCAGTTCCCAAATGGGCCGATCCATTAGGCCGACACTTATCAAAAGAAGAACTGCAGATGGCCAATATGGAAATATATGAAAATGTTCCATACCATTAGCCATTAGGGAAATGCAAATCAAAACCAGAGTGAGGCCAGGCGCGGTGGCGCACACCTATCATCCCAGCAGCTCAGGAGGCTGAGGCAGGAGGATCGCAAGTTGGAGGCCAGCCTCAGCAACTTAGTGAGGCCCTGAGCAATTCGGCGAGACCCTGTCTCTAAATAAAATAAAAAGGGCTGGGGAAGGGGCTCAGGGGTGAAGCACCCCTGGGGTCAATCCCTGGTCCCCCCCCCAAAAAAAAGTAAGTACCCATTGGCCTCGTCCTCCTTGTCCCCCACTCTGACCTGCCTGTCAAAGGAGGGCTTCTACTGACACCCGAGCCAGCAAGTGCCTGCCACAAGGTCCCGGGGCGCCCGTTGCCCCCGCCGAAATGATGGCCAGCAGGGGTGCTGGCGGGCCGAGCATGCGCAGTGTCACCGGGCAGCAGAGCCCAGGGACCCAGATGGGATTTGCTTGATGCACAAAAGCAAGAGGTCGAACCATGTGCCCGCGACTGTGGTCACCATGCGATGTTTCCAAAATGGACCCGCCTCTGTGCCCATATCTCCATGCAGTGGTCCCACGGGGTGGCGGGCGGGAGGGACACCCATCAGTGTCCTGTTTCTTTCTCAAGTGTGACATCGCATTAGTAGGACCAGAGCTGAGCATCTCTGTGGTCCCTAGATGCAGACCCAGGGCTCGGGAGCTCAGCCTGCAGGTGAGGTCACCTGCTGGACACGAATCAACTGGACTTCCTTCCAGCCACCGAAGACCTGCAGACATCTTTGGCAATTGCATTTTTTAAAAAAAGGAGTGGGGTGTCTTGTTCCCATGCTGTTCCTGTGGTCAGTGCAAGCTGGGAAATTGCCCTCTGCAAGACCTGGTCACTTGTGTGTCATCTCTACCCAACCAGGGACCACTGTGTGCCCTGCTGTGTTTTTGAAATGACCAGGAATTCCTCCCTCAATCTGGCTGTGGCCAGCATCCGGCTGGGGGTGGTGGTGGCATTTCTCCGACCTCTGAGTCCCCCTGAGCAGTGGCCACCCCCAACCCACCCTCTGTTCCTTGAGAGCTGCTTAGAGTCGAGTGACAGCCGGTGACCCCCGGTCTGCTGGCCTTACCGGACGGGGATGGCCACCCTGAGGAGAGTGGATGGGAACTTGTGTCCCGAGGTCGTCCCCAAAACATGTGTTCAACCTGGAGGACTTTAGCCAGGCACTGGTGACTCATTAACTCCCTGGTACCCACCAACAGCCAGATTCAGCTGGGGAGGGCAGGCTGGGACCGGGGGACGTGAGCTGAACCCGTCCTTACTTCTTCTGGCTATAAATTCAGTTCCCTTCCAGAGGACATTGAAACCTTGACTGGAATTTTTCTCCCATAATTTCCATCTGTTGTGGTTATTTTTTGTTGTTGTTCTGAGGCATGACCGTTGTGCTATTTGATATTTTGGTGGAATTTGCACAAATTCCATCAAGAATTACATAGCTGGGGGGGTAGGGAGGGGCGTGGTGGCATATGCCTGTGATCCCATCGACTTGGGAGGCTGGGGCAGGAGGATCATAAGTTGGAGGCCAGCCTCAGCAGTTTAGCAAGACCTCAAGTGACTCAGTGAGACCCTGTCTCTAAATAAAACACAAAACAGGGTTGGGGATGGGGCTCTGTGGCTAAGTGACTCTGGGTTCAATCCCTGGTACCAAAAGGAATGACATTGCTCAGAGTTCTGCCGGGGGTAGTGGTGACCATAGCCTTACGGAGCCATGATGGCCTTGGCAATGGGAATAGTTCCTACCGCTCAGGAAGGTGAAGGCTTAGGTGAGATGGAATTTGTGAAGCACCCCTCAGGGTATACAGCAATCAAAACAAGTGTTAACTCTGAGTTCTGAGAAAGGGGGACTGGATACCTGACAACCCTCGGGATGGGGAGAGGCATCTGCAAATAAATGAATAATGACCCGTGTTTGGAAATCCGCTCCCACAGAGACGGACTGGCTGTAAAGGAGGTTAGGGGGGTGAAATTTGAGATCGGAGTCAAAGAAGGAGCTGTGTTGACTGTGGTGAGGGTTCTCAATAGAGGGAGCAGTGAGTGCAAAGGCCCTGTGGTCAGCTGGTGCAAAGGCCCTGTGGTCAGAGGAAGCCGCGTCCTTTCAGGACACTTAAGGCGTTCTGGTCCCTGCGAGGATTCGAAGACATCTTGGATGCACAGGGTGGATGACGGGTGAATGTTCCTGCTGTGGGCTGGGAACATCTGACTGGGACAGAGGGACGGTGTCCCGTGGCCCTCCATCAGCAGGTGGCTCTGGGTGAGGAGCTCTGGGGTACCATGGACCTGAGATCGCTGACCAAGCATCATGGGCTTCATGGTGACACGGTCACACACGGGGGGGGGGGGTGGAGACCCCAGGGGGACACAGGGGTCATGCCATCTACAGCGAAAGAGAGAGGCCTTGGGGGAGTTAACCCAAGACCCCTTGATAGTGGACTCCCGGCTTCTGGGACGGTGAGGCGTGCGCATCCTGCTCTGGTATCTGTTACGCGGCTGTAGCTGACTCATACACCCCCACAGCACAGAGGGCCATTGGATGGTGCCAGCTCTGCACACCCCTGCAACATCTGCGAGGGGAGGCGTCTCAAAGATTCCAGGGCAGATCTTGACACGCTGTGCGCGCTGGGGACGTGCATCCAACCCGTCATTCAGGTTTAAGTCTTTCTGAAATTTATTCATTCAACTATTGGGTGCCTACTGTATGCTTCATGCTGAAGATATGAAGGGCTAGAAATCACTGCTGGCCGGGATGGAGCTTCCATTCTGTTGGAGGAGACAAAGGATAAATAATAGAAAATGGAAAATAAAGTAAGAAGGCAAAGCCAGGCCCGGCGTCTCATGACTATCATCCCAGTGACTCAGGAGGCTGGGGCTGGAGGATTGCAAGTTGGAGGCCAGCCTCAAAAACATTAGTGAAACCTTGTCTCAAGACAAAAAATAAAAAAAATAAAAAGGGCGGAGGGTTCAATCCCCAAAATTGTGGGGGGAAAAATGTTAAAAAGGTAATAGTTGCCAAGAAAAAGAAAAAAAAAAAAGCTAAAATGGGATAGGAAAATTAAAACAGCCGAGAGGGACACGATGTGACTCTGATTTCGACAGAGTCATCCTGACTGTTTTTGGGTTTGCGGACCCTCGGGGCCCCTAGCGCTAAGGCTGCTGAGGACGCACCTTAGTTTCAAGCGTCCTCTGACCCTTTGCTGCAGTTGTCCAATACGCCCGACGCGGGACCTCGACCCCCTCACTAGCTCCAGATCATGCTCCCCCGCCTCCCGGGAGAAGGAGTCAGCTTCATAGAAGGGGCGCTGTCCACGTGCCCAAGGGGTGGCCGTGCGTTAGATGCCCCGTGGTGCAGCCAGACCAGCTCGCCTGGCCCCTCTCCTTCCTGCTGCGCCCTCTGAGTGGGTTCTGGGTCTGGGAAACGCTTGGCTGGGGATCCGGCTGGAATGTGGGTCAAAGGGCGCCGCAGGGGAGTGGCACTCGCGGCTCACGTGCCTCTCTCGCGCTGACCGCTGACTTCCCAGAGCGCGCTCTCTCCCTCTCTCTCTCTCTCTCTCTCTCTCTCTCTCTCTCTCTCTCTCTCTCTCTCTCTCTCTCTCTCGCAGCTGGGCGCCAACGCATCCGGAGGAAATCGCTTCGGACTGGAGCAGCCCCGAGAACCGCGCTCCGTAGACCAGGAGCCCTGAAGGTGTCCCCGGAGAGCCGCTGTCACCGGCCTCCAGGGGAGGTCAGCAAACCTCCGGGGCAGTCGGAGGCCAGGCTGGCAGCGCTGGCGGCTTGCCCAGCGGGACGACCAGACACCGTATTTCTCCAACAGCAGCCCCCAGGCAAGTCCCCGGATTCACCCGGCAGCACCGGGAGAGCGGATCGCGCGGGGTGGACACGGGGTTGCGCAGCTGACCCCGCCAGCCATGTCCCCGGTGGGTGCACAGCTCGGGGGCACCCTTTCAGCGCCCTTCATAGGCCCCAGGGCTCGCCTCACGTCCTCACCTGGGGACCGAGCTTGGGAAGCGGACCCTCGTGGACGCGGAGGCAGCGGGTGGACGGCTGGAGGCCGGGTCGGGCGCCAGATCTGGCTGCGCGCGGCTCCGGCAGCTCCCGGGCTCTGAGCCCTGCGCGGCGCTGGGGGCTGGAGTGGCGGGGGCGTGTCGGGGGCGTGGTCTGGGCGGGGCCTGGGCGGGGCGGGGCGCGTGACGCGCGGCGCTGGCCAATGGGAAGCGCGCCCGAGGCCGAGCCTCCTGCGAGCCTTCGCGGCGCCCGCGGCGTCACGTGAGCGGCCGGGAGGGAGCGCAGAGCGCGGCCGGCGGGGGAGACTCCGCCGCAGCGGGCAGCGGGCGAGCGAGCGCAGGGACCCGCGGCCCGGCCCGCGGCCGCCCAGACCCCGACCGGGCGGCCGCCCCCAGCTCAGCCCGGGAGGCCAGCAGGACGCCGGGGCCTGGCCGCTGGCCAGGCGCGCGCCAAGTTCAGGTGGGAGAGGCTCGGAGGGGACGGGGCCGCGTGGACACGGCCGGGGTGACCGGGGCTGCCGGGCGCGGGCTGCCCTTGGAGAGCTCGCGGCCCGGGGCTCCGCGGGCGCCCGGGGGAGCCACGCGCTGCGGGAGGCGGGAGGTCGCCAGGCCCCGGGGGACGGTGACCCCGCGCGCCCACCAACGTCCACACGCTGCAGGCCCGAGCGGCCGCCCCGGCGCCGGTTCCGAGGGCCCGCGGTCGCCTTCCGGGCCAGCCCTCCCATATGGTGGGGCGCGGCGGGGCCTGACCCGGGGAGCGGGCCGCCCGCTGTTGGGGGGGGGGCAGGGGGCGGAGGGGCCCGTGGCCGAGGGGTTACTATCGGTCACCGGCAGCGGGGCAGCGCGGGGAGGGGGTGGCACAGGCCGAGGGCATGGAGCCCAGCGGGCAGCGCTCCCGGGCTCCGCAGAGGGGTCCGGGCCGACTCCCTGCGCCTCGCGAACCCACGCGCCGTCCCCCCCGCGCGAGTGGACACCCACGCTGACCCCACGCGCGCGGACACCCGTGCCACCACCTCGGCTGCCGCGCACAACGCCCCGCACACGCAGTCACACGACACACACCCACAGCCCTTTGCACACGGCTCAGACCCCCATCTGCACCCTCACGGAGTCCCCCCCGGGGGGGGGGGGCTCTTCCAACATTACCAGAGAGGTGGCTGAGGTGGCAGCCGAGGGGACAGAGGAAATGCCATCCCTACCCAATACAGCCGTCCTGTTCCCTCTTCTCTCCCCACTGTGCTGTTACCCAGGGACTCCCCCCCCCCCCCTTCCACCTCCAAGAAGTGTTTTCTTTCCTGGTTGGTCCCAAGAAATGCCCCCAAAGTCTTCCCTCCCAAGAACCCGGTGGCCCTCACCGTCTACAGGTGCTGAAAACAGCGGGACAAGGCGACTTGAGGGCCTGTGGGCAGCGCAGGGAGCAGAGACTCTTATTTTGAAAGGCGGCCCCCACCCGCCACCCCCGTGATTTGCTCGCTGACCCAATGGCGAGCCCTTGGCGCGCGCTGGGCTTGTTATCAATTACATGTTGTTCCTGCAGCCGCTGTGTCCCCGGGAGGATAAACAGCAGGCCTGGCCTGCGAGGGAGGGGGCGGAGTCCAGCGGCCAGCCGGGGACTGTGCCCGGAACAGCGCGTCCCCTCCCCCTGCATGCAGCCTGCGCCACGTGCTGGTGTTTTTTAGGGACCAGAGCTGGCCCCAGCCCGAATACTCCCTTTTTTTTTTAATGCCTGCACCTCGGGAAGTCCGAGAGCCCCTTCTGGGCTCCCCAGATCCTGCCCTGTCCTGCTGCAGGGACACTCAGCCTGGTCTTCAGACCCTGCTGCCTACCTGGCTTCCCCACTCAGCCTCATCCAGCCAACCTTGGGGCATGGCCCTACATGGCCATCCAAAGAGCTTATATTCTGGTGGGGAGGTCCACAGGAAAGGACTCCACACACACACAACCAAGACAATTCACCACTGTGGCACCTGCTAGGGACAGTATAAAACGGGATGATGTGACCCAGTGGCTTCTGAGCTCAGGGCGCTTAACCCCTGAGCCCCGTCCCCAGCCCTATTTGGTATTTTATTTAGAGACAGGGTCTCCCTGAGTTGCTCAGGGCCTCCCTTTGGCTGAGGCTGGCTTTGAATTTGCGATCCTCCTGCCTCGGCCTCCGGAGCTGCTGGGATGACAGGTGGGGGCCACCGCGCCGGCTGCAGTCATTGTTTAATATTGTGGAACCTCTGGTTGGTGGTCACATTTCAGGGGAGGTTTGAAGCAGCCTGTTCTGGGTTCCAGGGAGGCTGGAGTCCCCGGATTCCTTAGCATCCCAGCAGAGGGCAGGTGTGTGTGTGGGGGGGACTCCCAGGTGCTCATTCATTTGAGGGCCACCTTCGTGGCTGCTTCTGGCCCTGATTGTGCCCCTGACCCTGTCCTAAGTGTTGGGCTCTGGAGACAGAACGGGCGGGTGTAGCCGGGCGCGGTGGCGCGCGCCTGCCATCCCAGGGGCTCTGGAGGCCGAGGCAGGAGGATCGCGAGTCCAAAGCCAGCCTCAGCCAAAGCGAGGCCCTGAGCAACTCAGGGAGACCCTGTCTCTAAATAAAATACCAAATAGGGCTGGGGACAGGGCTCAGGGGTCCAGGACCCCTGGGTTCAATCCCTGGTATCAACCCCCCCCAAAAAATAAAAGAAGAAGGAGGGTTGGGCACAGAGGTGACACCAGGTTCCAGAGACACTCTGGCTCCCAATGCCAAACACTCTCCCTTTCCCCAACCTGGATAAACACCCAGCCCGCTGTGGTCACTGGGCGGGGACAAAGGTCCAGAAAGGTGGCCCTATTGCAGGCAGACACACTGTTGACTCTCCTTGAACACCGGACTAGCATGGCCTTTGGCTTCAGAGAACACACTGTCCCCCTCTCCTCTCCACGAACATCATCTGAGCCCCTCCTGGGCACCGGGTGTCACACTGGGGACTGGGGACACATGGAGCACACTGTCTAGTGGGAAGACGGGCATTAGCCGAGTGTCCCCAAGGTGGTGAGTGTCCCAGGTGGGGACTGAAGTGGCGGTGGGGTGTAGGGCAGGAGAGCGCGTCCTAATTGGCCAACGGGGTCCCGACTTGTGACCCTCGGGATGGTTGGGGGATTGAGGCGGCCACACGCATTCGGTGCTCTAGGATCTTGGGTGAACGCATCACCGCCCGAGGGGTGGGGCCTCGTCCACCATGGTGGCTAAGTCTCATGTGTCCTGGGGAGGGTCTTGTTCAAGCTTGTGGGGGGGGGGGAATGACAATCAGATGGGGAAACTGAGCCCTCTGGGGACAGGCACTTACTGTCCTTGAACTTTTCTGCCTCCAAACCACAGTTTTCCCAGTTAAAAATAGACCCCACTCGGGGACGGTGGCCCACGCCTGTCATCCCAGCAGCTGGGGAGGCTGGGGCAGGAGGATCGCAAGTGGGAGGCCAGCCTCAGCCACTCAGTGAGGCCCTGAGCCACTCAGCGAGACCCTGTCTCTAAATAAAATCTAAAAAGGGCTGGGGACGGGGCTCAGGGGTTAAGCACCCCTTGGGTCAGTCCCTGGGACCAAAAAATAAAATAAACTAAATATCAGATCGAGTAATTTTTATTTATATAAAGTAGACGATTTTTTAAAAAAAAGAAATCTGAAGTGGACGCCTGATGGGCACCTTGCATTTTTATTCGCTGGATCTGGCAACCCACGGAGGCCCAACGGCTTGGGGTCAGAGAGCAAGTGGCCACCGTCCCCTCCCCCCTCCTGTGACTCAACAGAGGTGACGCTGAGGTTCGGGTCCTACGATGGGCAGTGGCCCTGCGAGTCCTGGCCGTTCTGGGGACCCGGAGCCTCTGATGGCCTCCCCTCCAACGCGGTTCTCCCCTCAACGCACGCACGTGGACTCTTTTCCAGGATCTTTCTGGAAAAATCCGTCTGGAACCAGAACGGCCGGGTTGTGCAACGGGGCTCCGAGGGCTCTTTTGCAAACTCTGTGGCAGCGTTTCAGAGGACACTCTTGCAGGCCCCTGTCCCTGGGGGTGAGGCAGGAGCCTGGCATTCGGCAGCTGGGAGCCGGGCAGGCGACCCAGGGTGGGGGCAAGCCCCGCCGAGGGGCCGCGAGCCACTGTCCTGACTGTCTTTCCTCCTTCACAGCGGCCACCAGCGCGGCCCGGCCAGCATGGTGGACCACCTGCTGCCAGTGGACGAGACCTTCTCGTCGCCCAAGTGCCCCGTGGGGTACCTGGGGGACAGGCTGGCCGGCCGGCGGCCCTACCACATGCTGCCCTCGCCCCCTTCCGAGGACGACAGTGACGTGTCCAGCCCCTGCTCCTGCGCCAGCCCCGACTCCCAGTCCCTGTGCTCCTGCTACGGCGGTGTCCCCGGTGCCGAGGGACAGGACAGCATCCTGGATTTCTTGCTCTCCCAGGCTACCCTGGGCGGTGGTGGCGGCGGCAGCAGCGGGAGCCTGGGGGACAGCAGTGGCCCTGTGACCTGGGGGACGTGGCGGAGGGCCCCGGTGCCCGTGAAGGGGGAGCACGTTTGCTTCCCAGAG